TGCACAGCACCAAAACGTTTCCTGATGTTCAGAGGAAACCCCCTCCGGGTTTTGCTTTGTGCCTGCTGCCTCTTGCCATCTTCTTGCCACCCTCTATAGAGGATGTAACAGTCTGCAGTGAATCAAGCAGGTGGAAGATCATTTACGGGTTTTGTTCTTGAGTCCCACTCGAGGGTGCAGCACAGGACAGCCACTGGCAAAATCTTTGGTTCACGTAAGAGAAAGAACAATGCAAGTCGACAGCTCTGGCTGAGACACCCTCAGCACTGTCAGGCACTTGTGGACACAGGGCTGGGCACTGGGCATCTTTCATACCCAAAGTGTGAAGTATCACCTCTAGACAGCAAACATTTTTCTGCTGCAATTGAGCCTTCAAGCCCACAAATCTCAGCAGCAAGTACCACACGAATCTTTAAAATGTGGCAGTGGGGAGGCAGTGCCTGCAGGATTTGATGCTCTTTTAACCTTTGCTGAGCTGCTGATCTTCAAACCGATCTTACAGCTGCTGAATTTCCCTCCCCATTATTACAAGTGGCTGTTGGTTGTTGTTATATTTTTATTTTAATTTATTTTATTTAACTGCTTCTTCTGCTCAGTGGGCACGGGTCCTGGTGATGCCATGGCCGTGTAACAGGGGACAGAATGTTGGCGGTGGCCGTGTCACAGGGGGAGCTGCTATAAAAGGGCCGCAGCAGGCCAGTCCGGCCAGTCCGGCCGAGGAGCAGCCAGATGAGTGTGGGCTGAGGAGGGAGAGGAGAGGCCCCCCATGGCAATGAAGGGCGGCCGCTCTCCTCCAGCTGTTTTTTTTTTATTATTTATTATTACAGAGAGAATCCTGGAAAAGGACAGAGCAAGACCACGGCTACAGCCTTCTTCCAGCACTCCGCTGGAGACGTGTCAGCTTCTACAGGAGAGATCCCTGGACTCCACGGCCACATGATAAGGAAGGTCAACTCCCAGTCCCTTCCCATATTGTGCCGCTGGCACCAACCCCACTGATGTCTTGTTGCCCGTATTTGCTTCTCTCCTAGCCTCAGCGCTGGACACGGACGCGAGCCCATGACACAACATTCGACAGGAGAGATCCTTGGACTCCATGGCCACTTGCTAAGGAAGGTCAACTCCCAGCCCCTTCCCATATTGTGCCACTGGCACCAACCCCACTGATGTCTTGTTGCCCGTATTTGCTTCTCTCCTAGCCTCAGCGCTGGACACAGACGCGAGCCCATGACAGGACAACATTCTACAGGAGAGATCCCTGGACTCCATGGCTAAGGAAGGTCAACTCCCAGCCCCTTCCTATATTGTGCCGCTGGCACCAACCCCACTGATGTCTTGTTGCCCGTACTTGCTTCTCTCCTAGCCTCACCGCTGGACACGAGCCCATGACACAACATTCGACCGGAGAGATCCTTGGACTCCATGGCCACTTGCTGAGGAAGGTCAACACCCAGTCCCTTCCCATATTGTGCCGCTGGCACCAACCCCACTGATGTCTTGTTGCCCGTATTTGCTTCTCTCCTAGCCTCAGCGCTGGACACAAGCCCAGGACACAACATTTGACAGGAGAGATCCCTGAACTCCATGGCTAAGGAAGGTCAACTCCCAGCCCCTTCCTATATTGTGCCGCTGGCACCAACCCCACGGATGTCTTGTTGCCCCTATTTGCTTCTCTCCTAGCCTCAGCGCTGGACACAGACCCCTGACACATCAACATTCTACAGGAGAGATCCCTGGACTCCATGGCCACATGCTGAGGAAGGTCAACTCCCAGCCCCTTCCCACGCTGTGCCACTGGCACCAGCCCCACTGATGTCGCAGCCACATCAGAGTGGGGCTGGTGACAGGGTGGGCCCAGGAGAGGCCTGGTAGTAGACATGGCGCTTCTCTTGTTGCCTGTACTTCTCTCCTAGCCTCACCGCTGGACACGGACGTGAGCCCATGACATGTCAATATTCTACAGGAGAGATCCCTGGACTCCATGGCCACATGCTGAGGAAGGTCAACTCCCAGTCCCTTCCCACACTGTGCCGCTGGCACCAGCCCCACTGATGTCACGGCCACATCAGAGTGGGGCTGGTGACAGGGTGGGCCCAGGAGGGGGGTGGCACAACACACAGGGGTTCGCTTGTTAGTGCTTTTGCTTCTCTGCTAGCCTCAGCGCTGGACATGGACACGAGCCCATGATACCACGCTCCTGGCCGCCTCTCCTTGATGCACCGCTGGAGACGCAGCAACATCATACGGGACAGTCCTACAGAGGAGCAGATGGTGCCATCAGCTGCGGACGAGAATTCTGCAACACCTAACACTTGCTATATGAACTTGTCTATATGCAACCTTTTCTTAATAAAAGAACTTTTCTTAATAAAATGTAATTTTGAGAACCACTATGAATTGCGATGAAGTATCTTTTAGTCGTTTCCTGCTGATTTCCTGTATGCTGTTCTCCCGCAAAGACCAATGGAAAGTTAATAATACCATTGTTCAGCCATGAGGCCATATTTACACTTCAATCCCTTGTATGCATAAAATATTAAACTGTTCCTACACATGTCTAGAATTAATTTCTTTGGGAAGAACTCAAAAAGCTAGAACATTCTATCTTGAAAATAAAATGAAACTGGAAAACCAACCCACAAAAGGTATTGTTATCCCTTCACACTTTCACAGAATCACAGAATTTCTAGGTTGGAAGAGACCTCAAGATCATCGAGTCCAACCTCTGACCTAACACTAACAAGTCCTCCACTAAACCATATCCCTAAGCTCTACATCTAAACGTCTTTTAAAGACCTGCAGGGATGGTGACTCCAGCAAGTAAGGCAATCCTCCTCGTCCTCTTTGATTTGGTGTGAAAAATGGTCCAGGTAGCTGAATTTTTAACTTCACCTTCTGCTTATGCAGGGAATGCTTCCCCCCTGGTGGAAGTGATAGTTAGTGGTGGAAGTCATAGTGACAGCACTGATGTCAATGCACACTTCTTTAATGACAGCGATCATTACACCAACAGACAGAAATAAAAAAGCCAATGTCTGTGGATCGTTCACCAGTAGGTCCTGAACTTTCTGATTCTCGGTGAAAGGCTCTGTGTACGTACCTCAAAGAGCAAGCCTAGCTTTCTTCCATCTGTGTGTCTGACGTCCAAGTGGCCACGTTTGTTGCACACATCTCTGCTGAATTACAGTGCAAGGCATTATAGGGTACTGGAGCTAATTGTATTCTCAGCACTAAATCTCTTCTGTAATGCGCAGGTAATGAGGAAGTCTGCAGGTAAACTCATTATGAGGATCAGTCAATGTGTGTTTTCCTGTAGCGCTTTTAGTAATCATGTTAACTTGATAGCATTTCCCTGGCCTTCTGAAAACTTTTAAATTGCAGAAATGGGCCATTTGTTATTAGTGTTTTTACTTGGAGTGTGGGAACAGGATGTAGGCTATTTTGTTCCCTTTTAAGCATCAAAAAATCCTACCCAAAACCAAACCTTTTGAAGTTAGATTTTATTAATCACAGAATCATGTTCAATAGGCTTTTTTTTTCTTTTTTTCTTTTTTTTTTTTCTCTCCTTAACACACATACAAAGAAAGTAGAGTGGCAGAAATGCAAAGTGGCAAGGTGGAGGAAAAGGCCACTGGTGCTTGTCTGGGGTTATCCCCTGGTGCCGCAGTGTTGGCCACTCGTATGTCCTGCAGCCAGACCTGGGATAGAGTGGGGCTGCATTAAATGTGACCTTTCTGAAGGGAAACCTGCCTGAGCTAAGTAATCAAACCTCAACCTGTGTTTGATATATGTCAAGTGGAGACATTTGGGCTAAAACACCTAATCAATAAAGGAGAATCTTGATCTATATGCATTATTTCTGCCCCAGTGGGATCCATCTGCTTGTTCATTCTTCTTCCCATACCTGGCCCTTTCTAGCCCCTTTTTCCCTCCTTCCCACCACACAGTTTCTATACCCTTGCTGTTCTTTTCTCATGCTGCTTTTTCATACTGCTCCTTTTTTCTCACCCTTTATTATTTCTGTAGAAAACAAGTCATGCAGAATGTCAACATCTCAGCATAGAAAGGGGTCCACCCATTTCCCATTTTTTTCACTCCTGTTCTTCTGATTTCCTTCCAAAACTATTGGCTACTAATGCTGGCATAGTCCCTGATGTTTTGAAATTGTCACATCTGGCTCTGAAAAGTTACTGAGACAGAAATGTCTTCACTGCTGAACACAGTGTCTCAGCAACCCAGTACATCTGGTTTTGAGATGCATGCGAGATGTGCTTTCTAATAGGTCTTGACCGCAGTGCATCTTAATATGCATAAAATACTGCCAGATTTTGGAGTCAGGCCTGGGTCCCAAAGGGTAGATGCCAAGTTCCCACTAAAATTAGTGCCTAAAGATGTGGTTTAGAGCAATGTTGGAAAACTAGTAGCTTAAAAATGGACACAGTATAGTAGGACTTTGCTCAATATTTGAGTAAAAATAATCATATTTTTAGAGTTTTCTTTGTTGCAGCTACTTTGGGACAAATTACACAATTTTCTAGAAGTTAGGAGAAAAAAGCATATCCTTTGTAGCCACTCAGTTATGAAGCAGATCTAGCCATGAATATACAGACCTAAGATTTGAGGGCTGCGATAGCTTGACAACGGGCAGCTGCCAAAAAGCTGCACAAAATCAATTAAGAGTGGCTTGGCAAACCATGCAAAATACCCTACTACTGCTGAGCTGGGGCAGCAAACACTGGGGGTGCTGCTAAGAGAGCTGGGGATTGCACTCCTGTGGGACCCAGGAGGTGGGCAGCAACCAGAGCTCTGCGTGTCGGGCTGCCACAGCACACTCATTGTGCTTCCCTGCGTGTTGAGGCTGAGTTCTCCCTGCCCTGATAAAAGAACACCTTCGTCTTGGCATCATAAAATGATCTGTGGCTAGTCCCAGAATTTAAACTGAATTCTAGAGGCAATCACGACCGGTAGTAGGTGTTAGGATATGAGTGCAATGCACTTACTGCTGTGATCTGTTCCAGCCCTGGCTGTTTTTCTGGCTCTGTCTTCTTGATAGCCTCCACATTGGTGTTTGTGCACTGCTCACCAATTCGTGAACTGGTGTGGCGCTGATGTGTCCAGAAGATGACGTTTTTCCTGATAAAATGGCAGCAGTCCGTAAGTATCTTTAGTATTGTTTATATATTTGCTTCAGACAGACCTCCTTCATAAACTGGGAGATGGTTAAGAGAAGTAACACAGGAGTTTAAAAGCACGAGAAAAGAAAAATCCAGAAACCAGATGTATCTATTGACTTGAATTATTAATGTGTGAAAAAAGCATGATGCAAAAGTGGGCAATTTGTCGCGTATGAATCAAACGTTTTAACACTCCTCTCATGAATAATTTTCAAAGTCTTTATTATCCTCAGACACTTATCAGTTTTGTGTAATTTCTGTCTATATGACTCACAGAATTACTTCATCCTCTGTAACTATTTTCTTGCCTGAAAAGCTTCCATATAAGATGGCAATAGCTGTTTATACCACAATCTACATCTATTTAAGTCTCTCCGATTTTTTCTCTCGGTGTAAGGAATGAAGTGTTCAAATGCACACATTTCTGTAAGCGCCCAGAGTATGTCATTGAGTATTAATATTCTGAGCCCAACAATTCTTACCTTAGCCTGGTGGTGATTTCCTCCCTTTGCTTCTGTGTGTTTCCATCAGGCGTTTAGTAGCATCCCGCCAGATTCAGTAAGGACTGTCGTGTCGGTCGTGGGATGCTGACATCCTTCAGGTGTGCTAAGGGAGTGACAGTGAGAATCATTAATTAGTTGTTAATAATTGTACCTGGATTTGTTTCTCACAGAAGCATTTACACCCTTTTAGGTTCTTGCACAGTGTCAGAGAAGGAGGTGAATTCTCTTCTTTCCTGTAAAGACACGTATTTGGGATCCCACTTCTCATTTTCCCCATGGACATCTACATTTAACAGCAAGTTACCAGAGCACTCTGAGACAATTTCTCTGCTGACCGGGCAGTTCCACTATTCACAAACTGGTCTTATTCTGCCATCATGTGAGACAAAGATACCAGCTTTAATGATTTGATTTTTTTTTGTTTTAAGAGATCAATTTGTACCACACAGAGTTGCTCACAAGTTTCTCTTGGTGCTAGGGTAAAGTGTCTGAGGGTGAGTCAGGGTTTTAAGATCGGCGCTCTGCTGCCACCATCTCCGCAGTTATCAGCTGTGATTCATTCCTGTATGCCCCCGAGGTGAATCACTGTCAATAATGCTCCGACAGCTCACCCTGAACGATTCCCTCCTGGAAGGTGAGCCGGTGTGCTCAGATGGCTGCCTTTGTTTCTCAGGTTCAAAGCAACAATTTAACTTTTTGTCCTAGAACAAAATAAATAACAGGAAGGAGCCATTCTGCTCTAAATTAAAGAGGTGTGTCTCTTGGATTATCTTTACTAAATTAGTATAGATACACTTGCATCAGCCTGGGGAGGAAATTTGAGCACACAGCTCCTAGGGGTTTCCAACAAAGGAGGAACATGCATTTAATTATACATTTAATTATACATTTAATTATACATTTAATTAGCTGGTTGTGTTTTATTGTGGTATGCTCAGTAAGTTTTAATGTCTATTCAATTATCCTTTCTTATGGTTATAATGGCACTTTTTGTTTTATTTTTATTCTAAAAAATTAGGATTTTTTTTTAGTGTATTTTATGCCAATTTATTGCATCAGTCGAAGTATATGACTGTAGTATTTGTACAGCTGTGGAAAACACAAATCTTTCAGGAGGGAGCATTTTTTGTATAGAATATGCTTAACCTCTACTTAATGTAATTTTAATTTTGCAGTGTGGATTGCAGACAGCATTTCTGTAGGTGTCCAAAAGTGAAAGCTAATTCTGTTCGTGGTCTTAATGCAGTAGTAAGATTTTGGTTGGTTGATTTGACTTGGATGTTGGTTAGGAGGTGCAGGCAGAGTAAATGCACAACTTCCTTGCAGCAGCAAGAATATCCCTGGAGGGAAGCACTGTGAAGGCAGTGTCTATCTTTGACTTAACAACAAAGCTAGACTTTTCACTTCTGGTGGCCATTAAATGGCTTAGAAAACTTCAGACACACACATACACGATTTGTTTTTACATAGAATAATAGCGTTTGATTTTTCTACAGCAGTCTCATAGTCAGTCTCTTTCACCTGGCTAAACACAAGTTGGTTAACCCAGCAGGAATAAATTAGATGAATTAGAAAGGTGGGGGAGGGTGACAAAACCCATGCTACACACCCAGAAGAAGCTCAGCTGTGCTGAGGACTGACAAATTTAACCTGGTGCTGAATTTATAACACTTTTTCTAGCTCTTTCACGTGCATACGTGCTAAGTTTCCATGAAGTTACTAAGGTTGAATATGTTTCAGATTTCTGCACCTTTATTTAGAATTGTAAGCCTCAGAAAAGGATTTATGTTTAGGCTTGTTATGTTGGCACCCTCCTCTTATTGTTGGGGGAGATGGTTGGACCATTTTTCCTCAGCAGTAGAGGAAAATAGCGTATATATATATATATTTATTTTTCTTCTTTTGTTCTTGAGCAGGAAGCCTGTAGGCTTTGCTACAAGCCTAGAAGAGACGTGGTTGCTGTACTACCTGGCAGCAAGATTAGCATTACAATAGATATCAGTATGGATGTAAGATGGTACAGGAGATTACTCACTTTTTGTTCTGAGAAGTCAGGGTACTGTCATTGTCCTCCAACACAAAGGCTACATGACTCTATCCAGCATGACTCCTGGAAGGGAAAGAATTGGTTTAATGCTTCTTTATTTAAATAAATAAGCCTTCAAGGCTAAATAACATTAGTGATTTTTTTTCTGTCTGAAACTTTACATACAGTTCCATGTTTCTTGCTCTGTCAATTGCATGTGGATTTCTGAAGTCTTCTCAGGTGCTTTACAAAAACACTCAGGACTTGGTATTTCATGGTATTTTGTTGTTGTTCTATGTGTAGCTCTTTGAAAGGCTGCTGGACCTTTGCTATTTTTATAGTGCTTCGAGGGAAAAAGTTTGAGGTGAAATGTGGAGGCTGAGAGAAAATAAATTTCATTGTTTGCATTTATAAAGACATTCTCCAAAAACTTCCACGAAGGGTAAAGCCCTAGGAAGAGGGGATGCTGTGGTGACACTGGAAAACATTGTCTTTAGTCACAGGCCTGCCAAACCAAGGGGTTTTCCTTCAAATTCAGACTCGGAGTGGACGATGGCACAGGCCCAGTGGTTAAGTATAAACTCAGAGCATGGAAAAGGTGCAGGAGCTAGGGAGCCTCGTCAAGATACGGTTACAGGAGCAAAATAAGAAAATCATGGGGCAGCTGGCTTAACGCCCTGCATGTCTGTATGCAAATGCATAAAGTTTGGAGAAAAAGGAGAAACTGAGAATTTTTGTATTCGGTCAAAGTGATAACTGCACTGGTAAAGCAGATAATTCGGGGGGTAATTCAGGATGGAAGGAAAGACTTGTTTGGAGAGGTCGGAAGGCACAGGAGGAATGGAGGTCTTTACCAAAAGGCTATGATTTTTGTTGAGATCCAATGTATGTGGGAGGTGAAGTAACTGGAAGTATTTGGGCAAAGATGTAAAGAAAAGATCAAGGCAAGGGTTTATTGTGTGTCGCAAAGGAAGTGAGGTGGGCAAGGACCTTTTTAACTAGAGATGGTTAACATCTTGAGAGAATACTCTTCCAGATTTTTTAATTTTTTTTTCTGGACCGAGAGAGGGAAATTAACCAGTTGAGAATGTGAAAATGTAAGGACACAGCAGAACACAGACAAAATTATTTGGGAAAGAAGACTCCAGCAAAATCAGTTATGGTGAATATCAAATGGCAATTAAGTCTAGCAAGTGGAGTTGTCCAGGGGAGTTGGCATTTTCTTGAAACAGTATATGTGAAAGTAAACATCATCAGCTTCAAAGTGAATTAAAGATGGTGAAGTTAGCAGGGGAGAAAATATTTTGAATTTAATGTGAAACTTTTTTTAGAATTGAAAGCTGTGTTACGTTACTATAGAGGACTTGTGAAAGAATAACACAAGCATGTAGGGGTGAATCAGAAAGACAAATACAGAACAGATTGGACCTCGTGGCTCCATTAGGGTCAGCAAGAAAATGTTTTTGGTAATGAGAAGAATTCCTACAGATACGGAAAACTTACAACGTGATTGTATACTATTTTCAGTGATGTTTTTGATGCTCACATGACTTTCTCCTAAGCAAGCTAGGGAAGTCTTGCCTACATTAAACCATAGAATCACAGAACAACTTGGGTTAAAGATCATCTGCGTCTAGTCCAGCCCCCCTGCTATGGGCAGGGACATCTTTCTATTAAGTGCTCAGATGAAAAGAAAGGGACTTTCAAAACCAAACAAGAACAGAACAAACCCTCAGCCAGCAATTCAGGCTGATGGACTTCAGGTAGGGTGGTTGTTCAGGGGTGCACCTGAAGCCTAAACTGTCTGATGTTTTCAGCGAGTACCTGAATAGTTGAGAAGTGTATGAATATTAAATCTTCGGATAACAAAGTGCTAGGAACAGTTGCAAACGCTTTAGAGAACAGGATTAGAATTAAACGTGATATTGACAAATTGCTGACAATCTGAAATAAATAGGCTGTAATTCAATAAAGATGAGTGCAAGGTATTTAGAAATAATCAACTGCACAAACAGAAGTTCTGCAGGAAAGATCTAAGGCTTAGGGAGATATGCAAACTAAGCCTGAGTCAACATAGGTACGCAGCTGGGAGGGAAAAAAAAGCAAACACCCACATGGGATGAGTAAACAGGGTTGTCTTATGTAAAACGTGAGCTGGTCCTTTACCTTTACATAGCAATTGCTAAGACTTCAGTTGGAGTTCTGGCTCCAACTTTGGACATCGCGCTTGAGAAAAGAGAGCAGCAGGAATGAGACCAAAGGAGATCTGTAAGCCTCAGCAGGTATCCAGAAAAGGTGATCTGCAAAGAAAGGCTGAAGGAACTGGAGCTGTTTGGTTTACATGGCAGATCAGTATGGGACAATAACGTAACTAACATACATAAAGGGACTTCTTAAAGGAGGATTACATCTGCTGTCTTTCCCAAATATATGAAAAAAGTAAGAGGATTACGCTGCAGGAAGATTTAGTTTAGATATTAAGAAAGAAAGAAAGAAAGAAAAACTTTTAAAATAATTATGCACTAGCATAGGCTATGTAGGGAAGTTTTTTCCTTTCACTGAACACCAGTGGTATATGGCAGAGTGAAATAAAATTTACTCAGTCAAACATTTGTCTTGAGATGTTTCAACCTAAATAGAATATTACTTCCACATGGGCCTGTCTTGTATCTCACCTAGCACAGATGTGGCAGATTAGCCGGTTTGTGACAGTTTTTGCTTGCGCTACGGAAGTCCAGGATACAAAAGCTTCATCAGATTCCCAGCCTCTGAACAGAAATTGCATGTAGTCAGATTTCCGAAACTGTCACATCAGAATGCAGAAATACTTTAAAAATAGAATTTATATTCAGTTAGAGATGGTGATTCTTTTAATGAGGAGAGAGATTGGCTTCTGCTGCTTTGAGGAAATGGATCATGAATTACCGAAAGGCAATAAATAAATTAAAGCCAGTCAGTAGGTTTGTGTTTACGGCCACAGTGGAGCTGTTTACACAAGCCAATAGATGGTATGATGAGACATTCGAGTCTATTTACCCAGAAGAGCTTGCAGTAGCTAAATCAAAATATTTTTCTTCATAGCTTATGAAACAGATTTTTTTTCATTTATTTTAAAACAATACTGCTAAAAATAAAAACTGTCATAAAAACCTCTGCTGCACGTATCTGGGACTTATCAGTCTCTGGTACCTTGGCTCTAAACTTTTGCTGTCTTTTCCAAGAAAAAGGGTAAGCACATATTTTCTAGCTGTGTTCAGTCATCACTTTAAGTACCTTGATATAATGAGGAGGGGTACCAAGGGCTATGAAACGGGGGTGAAATAGGTAATTTAACTCTCAAGGAACTCTCACTGGTAGCAACGAAACCTGAGGCTAAGACAGTCTGTCTAGATTATTTTATCCAATTTTCTTGGAGGTACAAAGCTGTATAATTATTCTTTTCATTAACTTATTAAACCCTCACTTAAACTGTTTCTTTTCTGTCCTGTTTTTCTGATCAGAGGTTGTTCCAGAAATGAGTATTTTTCTACTGGCCAAGACTCGGATTTTAATAACAGGACTAAATGTTTTTGAGGCAGGTTTATGCCTATCTAGTTCATGCCAGTATTGTCCTTTGCTTTAAGTGGTTTATAATTCTTTCTGCTTGGGAGTTACTCCCCAGCTCTCACCCCTCTCCCCCAGTTTGTTATAAAGTCTGTATGCTTTAGAAATCAGATCTTATCATGCTCCCCTTTTATACAAAAGCACTATTTATTTGTTCTTGACTCTTACAGTACTACTTCCTAACAAATTTAGTTAAAATACCAGTGCCTGGGACTTGCAATTTTATGTGCTATTTTTTTGATAATTCTGTTTGCATGTGTTAACCCTTCCAGCATTCTCCCTGCTGCGGCTATAGTAAATCCAGTTTCCTTACCCTCTTATCCTTCCTGCTACTGTGGTCAACATAGTTATCTTCACAGCAAAGTAAGGAGATTCTGTGTTCACTGTGGGGTTATAGCAAATTTGTAATCTCTACTTCTGCTGTTTGTTTTAAGGGGGTTATCTTTAATCTGTAACCTAATCTCTACTTTCGCTGTTTTAGTATTTTTTTTTCCAAGTCTCATTTGTGATATCTTTAGTGACTTCTGGCATGGACTGTTGTTAGAGACAAAGTACTCTTGGTGTATATTCGACTGTGTGCCTGATCTGAACTGGAAATTCACGTGCATAACTGGGCCCATAGCTATGCATTAGAAGAAAGAACATATGTACAAAACGGTGACATAAAAAGATCTTTCATCTCACTTAGTTACTGGACTTCTGACTTCTGTGTAAAGGTAGCTAAGCTACAAATGGTGTAGCTTTTCAGAGAAGTACAGATTGCTACAGTGTGCTCGTTGTTCAATTTTCAAACCATTTTGTATAACCTGGGATGTTTTTCATTTTTCCAACTTCAGACTTCAGACCTGGTCTTTATCAATTTAATAGCTGAAAAGCTCATTCTGGCAATTCAAGGTCAGGATTTAAATTTAATTTTAGTTATTAATTTTCACTGTCAATTTCTTCACTATGACTCAGGATTTGTAAGTTGCAGAAGAGCAGTATAGTAAAGAAGAAATTAAAGTAGTCTCTCTGTGTCTAGGTGGTTCACAGAAATGCAATTAAAAAAAATAATGAGAAATAATTATCTGTCTTCCAACTGGTTCATAACTGTGTTAAAGCCTACTGTTTTGTTTTTTTTTTTTAACCACATTTTCTTTGACAATTTTGTGATGCAGAAATCAGTTCCAGTTGGAAATTTAGGTGTTTAAGGAAACCAAACTCCATTGATTAATAGCCAAATTCTAAACAGAAAATAAATTCTGCAGTATTTTTTTTTATTCTAATGAGTAAATTCAGATTACATTTCAGAACAAATTGCTTCAGACCAGCAAGTCCTCTGTAGACAGCGAATGTTAGTCATGCTAAACTGTGGTGTATGCCCACAAGGAGTTTCAGTGAACAGGGCTGCATGTAGTGTAAGGTGGAACCTGGAAGAATAAAGGTATCGATGACCATCTTCTTCTGGATGTTTCATTGCAGTGCATGCAAAAGTAATGATCCAAGTTTTCTATCTGCAAATATGAGGGATTGGATTGGTAAATTGGTCAGAAATGATTGCTTGTTACATGAAAAGAGGAACAGGCTTCTCTACATATCATCCTGTATGTAAATACACCATGTTTTCTGACTTTCTGTACAGATTACTGCTTTTTTTTAAATGGTGCATATGACTGGGTTGCCAGTCTGTATGTCTATGTCTATCTGGATCTATATGTACCAAAGACGTTATTTTATAACTATGCATGTATATTTTATGTACATGTATATCTCATGTACATTCATGAACTGTATGTACACTTTTGTGTATATAACCAATACAACTTAAAGATGATAGATTAAGCTATTTTCCTTTTTAACATACTTAGAAAACTGAAGAAACAGGGACAGTAAGGATACTTTGAAAATAAAGCTCTGATTTTTGTTCTTAAACAATCTTGGAACAAATTACCATTTAAAAATCAATCCAAATACTAATTCAAACGATCCATAATACTGCAGGTGAAGTCATCACTGCACTGAAGTCAATGGCAAAACTTTTATTATTTTGCCCAACATTACATGCTGTCTCAGGTAAATAAGGTTTTGTTGTTGTTTTTATTAAAAGGCACTTTATAAAAACTGTTCTTTTAAAACATTCATCTGTGTGGCTTGCAAAATGGGCTATTTTGTAAGTTTCCTGTATCTGTACTATTTGAAGTTTTAAAATCACATTTCTTGATCAAAATCATATTCTTACATGAATGCATGCGGCGAACACTGTGGTATTCACACTTTTGGGTTCAAATAGTTAAATATAACAAATTGTGTCGAATGTTCACATACACCTTGGAAGTCTCTGACAAGCTAATAACATTAACGTTTTCGCAACTTTAAAGAACAGGGTTTTCAGGACTAACTTCTGGTACCTTCACTCACTTTCAGGTATGTAATTGAACAAATAGATAAAACTGAACTGGACAGCACTGCTTGCAGTTTATGCCAGTTAGAAGCAGCGTGTCCGAGTCAGATTGTTTAGGGCACTAAATCTTTGTCCTTCTGACAAGGATGTTTGTGTTAGGATCAGTACTTCACAACCTCAATGTCTATCATTTTGTGACAATTCCGAGAACCTTGGGAAGCACATTAAATACCTTACTGGTCAGAAAAGCACTGCCTGTGCCTGTGGTCGCTGCCACCTCCTGCATTAGCAGCCGGCCCCCGAGCACTGCCTCTGCTGTGGCTGAGCGCTCATTAAGCTCCCAGCAAACGTCTCCGCGGCTCCAGGCAGCACTGGTCGTCCCCCGAAGGTTCCCTGTTCACGTAAAAAGAAGGAAAAAAGTAAGAACTGCCCTTAACTTTCCTCAGTACCCACGCCGCGGGGAGCCGTTGTGACAGGAGTTACTCAGCCTCCCCCCGCCCGCGCTGCCCTCACCCGGGAGCGGGGGGCGCTGCCTCCGTGGGGTGAAGCCCCCGTCCTCCTGGGGGCTGTGTGGGGCTCAAACTTCCCCCGGGGCCCCCTGCCATGGGAGGAAAATTCAGCTGAAGTACCCTGGGGAGTCCCCGTCCCGCTCCGCCCCGCGCTGACGGGGCCCCTCCGACATCTTGTCCCTGAGGCGAGGCGGCGGGGCCGGGGCGGGCTGTGAGGGGGGAGCTGGAGGCAGGTGGGGCCGGCGAGGCGGGGCGGCTCCTGCGCCCCGAGCGGGGTTGTGAGGGGCAGTGTGGGGCTGTGAGGGACCGTATGGGACTGTATGGGGTTGTGAGGGGACCGGGACCGGGACCGGCGCCGCGGGAGCGAAGCGGAGCAGGTCCGGGAGAGGGGCGCTTGGGGCAGCCACGGGAGCGGGCGGCGCGGTGCCCACGGCCGGACCTTTCTGCTCCTTTTCTTCTTTCCCTCCTGAGGGTGAGCGCCTGAAGAGAGAGAAACCGCGCTGAAATCGCGAGTGTGCTGACGGGCTGCGTGTGGGGACCCCGCTGTTAATTACCGCACGGGTAATTAGCGCACGAGGGCAGCCGCTGGCTCTGACCGCAGCCGCCCGCGGTAGGCGCCGAGCCGCAGCCCCTTGCTCTGTCAGGGTGCTGGGAGGGCTCTGCTGAGGTGTTTTGGGGTCTCTGCTGAGGTGTTTTGGGGTCTCTGCCTCTGGATCCTGCCTGCGGTGGGTGCTGGGGTGGTGGCTCTGGTGTCGCGAACTGGGGGCAGCCGCAGCCCGTCGAGAGGAGAACCCGCTCCGGGGGGTGTTTGGGGTGGGTTTGGGGCGGTTTTGGGACGTGGTGCTGTTGGGTTTCGCAGAGCCGGAGCCTTTTACCTCAGCAGGGATTTCTGCTGCTGCCTCTGGAGACGAGGGTGGTGCTGCTGCGGGTCTGCTGGGGGGAGGTGGGCATCTCCTGCTGCCCTGGTTAAAGCTCTGGTGGGATCCGAAAGCTAAAACTTCAGATAATTTTCATTGCTATTGTACTTTTCATTTGCTCTGAACTCCTTATTTATGCTGCTTGCATATGCTAAACGACAACAGAAATTCGTGCCCGGGAGGGCTGACCCCAAATCACGGTGTGTTGTCAGAACCCCACAGGAATGGAAAACCCCATAAGAGCAGGCCAGGAGGTGCTGTATGGAGGCATTAATGCTCAAATATTTGTATGCATAATCGAGAGCTTCTGAATAGTTAAAAACAGCTGTAGCAGAGAGCCTGCAAAAGTCGGGGACAGTTTGTATGCTCGCGGTATTATGTTCCTGTTTCCCATTAACTAGCAGCTGTTGTTGTTTTTTTTGGGAGGATGGGAGTAAGAAAAAGGAAAAAAAAAACCTTCAGACTCTGTATATGTGTGTGGGTACATTGCTGGAGGGAAAATATGCGATCCTGGCAGCTGAGTTTCTGCAACTCTCTGTAGGTTTGAGACTGCTCGCTGACAAATCCGCTGCTACGTGGGGCTCTGATCCCGCTGCGTTTGCTCGTCTCGTCCCGCTGTTCCTGTGAGACTGGGTGAGAGCTTCAGGGTGAGATCAGAGCTGTCAGGGCACGCTGCTCGCTCACGGCCAGGCTGGGCTGATGCTCACACCTGCCTCGTACGGCAGTCCTCTTCCCACATTAACTTTGTGGTTTGGTTTTGTGTGTGTGGTGCAGGAGGGAGACACGCAGAAGTGCAAGCTGTCAAGACAAGAAGCTGTTGGGGGGAAAAATGAGGAAAAGGGCAGTTTCAGAGGGCAAGGGCAAACTCTCAGTATGTTTTTCTGAGCCCATTGAGCAGGTGTTTGTGGATTACTAGCCGTGTTTCAGGCTGTGCTGAAGATGTTTCCCATGCTAGTGTGCCAGTGAAGTGTGTGACTTCTCAGCCAACCTGTAGCAAATGACCTCATTTTCATTATCATGCTCCTTGCTTATCGTATTTGCTGTTTTGCTTTCCTGCCTTGATAAAAATCCCATTGAACTCTCCTTAACTAAAGTTTTCTCTACATCAGTGAGCATGGAGAGGGAGAGTAAGAAAGTGGAAAATGTCAGCTTCTGCGCAGCACCGAAGTTGGTTCCAGGATGCAGCAGTCTTCAGGCCGATGTGTTAAAGCAGGCTCCAATTCTTCCCATTTGTGTGGAGACTTCCCCCACCATGCACAAAAACATTTGTCCTTGCTGTGTTAACTCTTTGCAGGACAGAACTGTAGTTACAAGGTTTCATAATGTTCCTTTATTAAACTTCCAGTTACTTTAAGCGATTCTTGTAAAACTTGTAATCTTTCTTTCAGTGCAGTTAGGATTTATGGTAAATTCAATATTCTCACTGCAAAAGGTGTTTGGTACTCCTGCCCAGTCCAGTAGGACATTGGTCGTGTCCTGGGCATTACCTGCAGGTAGCTCTTTTTTACCCAGCCTCTGTGCAAAGCATCCAGGAGGGATGCTCGTGCTGATGACTTGTAGTTTGTGTTGCTTTCTTGATGCTGCTCAGCACTGTTTTTTTTGTTTGTGAGTATTGTTGGGACCAGAGGTTAAAAGCAACAGCTTTGTGGTATCTGCTTACATCGATGCAATACAAGGAGAAAAATAAATCATCTTGAAGTGGTCTGAACTACATTTTTGCCTTCTGGCCCAAATATTGTTAATTATGGTTAAATTGGTGCTGATAATCAGAATCTCTTTGATTGCTCTATCTGGATGTTTATATGGCAGCAGGAAGTGAAGATGCTGTTATCTTCAGGAGGCTGCATAACTACAGCTTTCTTCTTTGAAGTGTCCGTGGTCCTGGGCATCTGTGGTTGCTTTCCCTTCAGTCTGTGGGAGGTATTGCCTTCCTGCATCTGGGGACAAGCAAGAGATAGCGTTTCACTGATGCTGCACGTCCTGCTTTGAAATAGTACGGTGGAGTACAAATGGCTGCTGGAATTGAGGTTCTTTTCTTTAAATATCTAGGAAAAGAAGGGCTAAGGTACCTGGGTGGCAGCTTTAGCTTCATTTAGTATGGGAACTCACAATGGGAGATCCAATGATGGGCCATGACTTTATGGACCATTTAGAGCTATTGTTGGTGGAAATATTTTACTTGTGATCAGTAAGAGCTCTAAAGACATTTTCAATAATGTCCATGACATACCAATAACTCTATAAGCCTTTGGTGTGTATGTCTGATTTCCTTGCACAGTGTATGGAAGTGGTCTCTGCCAGTTCCTACTGAGAAGTGGTTGAGCTATGAACTGCAAATTCTTGTTGCGCCTATAAAAGGGGAAAATGGACTGGCTTTCATTAAACCATAGATTTAATAATGGGAATGGCATATGTTTATGCCAAGTAAATTGTTTTAAAAGCTTTTTTTTTTTTTTTTTTTTTTTTTTCCCTCCGGTCAGAAACTTTCAAAAAACTAGGTAACTTTCATCATAGGCTTTTGGAAATAATCTCAGCCTGTATCTTCGTGAAATGGCAGGCTTAATAGGAGGCTGTAGCTAGTCTAATTCCGCTGGCCTTCATGGCTCACTTATTAGGAAATTGGCTAATGGCAGATGTACAGGGAAGGCTGGCCTGGTAACAGCTCTGCTGAGAGGCAAATTTTCCTCCGAAGTAGGGGTTGTGGAGCACTGCCTTTGAAATCTTGAGCTTTCCTCTTTAATTGATCAAAATGTAGCTTAAAATGTAGTCTGATTATAACCTGGGCGAATGGGGAGAAAAGTGGATGGGACTGACTCATTTTTCAGACCAAAAAGAGGACAGTCTGTGCTGAAGGAACGGCTTGGCTCCAGCCCTGCTGAATTTCCAAGGGCTTTTCGTGTAAGAGAGCTCGCAGTGAGACAACACTACAGAAATACTGTGGCTGCCCTGCTCAGAGCTCTGCTGCCGCAGGTAGGCAGCTATGCCCATCAAATTGCATTTTCTTTAAGCCATGGGCAAGGCTTAAAGCAGCATCAGGGTCCTTGTGTGATCCTGGTAGTCTCTGGCAAGGATTTAAGGGAGAGGTGAGATAGTTCTGGGTGGAGTCTGGGCACAGAGCAGCTTTCCTTTCCGCAGCCAAACCCCTTGGCTTTATTAGCAGCCACCAGTTCCCGTGTGCAGGTGCCCCTCTGCCCTGTGGTGGCTTTCTGGCACTTTGTCCGGGGTGAGACAGCGAGGATTTCTCACCTTCTGTGCAGGATGAGCAGGGAGTGCCCTGCTTCTTCTCCTGCTCCTCCACCACCAAGGCAATTTGCTTCCACACGGCTCCCGAGACCAGGTATCCTTGTGCAGCGCCGCGTGATGCAGTGCATGCTGCCCCAAACCGAAAAGCCAGGGGATTACATACGTTGGCACCAGCTCTCTTGGCAGCATCGATGGTCTCGAGGAAATTGTTCTCAAAATTATGTAAGGAATGAGCACGCCTTTGGAGGGACTCCCTGAATCTTAGTTCTCGCCACAATATTCTCCGTTGGACTCATTTTACTGATCATCCAGTTCTAGTTAACTACAAAGGCAACCAAATTCTGTGTGTTTTGCTCTGATATACCCTGTCAAACTGTTTTTTTGTTTGTTTGTTTTGCTTTTATTTATTTATTTATTTATTTTAAGTATAAAATGCTTATATTTGGGCTTCAACAGAATTTGTGTGGCTAAAAAATGAAAATCAAAAAGAACGAAGTACCTCAAATGAAAGGAAAGTATTTAAATATTAGTGTAAAGTTTGGTGAAGTCTTCAACAAACTGATGTTTGGATGTTTTTGTGTATGCTGCACTTTTTTTTTTTTCTTTTCTTGGGGGAAGAGATACTTGAGTATCTTTTGGCCATTTTGATAGTTTAGATTCCTAGTGCCTTTCAGATTACCAAACCCAGAAAGTGTTCAACAGTCAGCCTGGAGGAATAAGGCACTATGTAGTTCAAATGATGTAAAAAAAAAAAAAAAAAAAGCTGCATTGATATTTAATTGATATGCTAAGCAGTGTTAACGGGTTTTATTCCCAAATGACATTCTGATTTTGTTGTTGCTTTCTGTTATAAAGGTGTGGAGACCAAAGTAAAAGAAGTGCACCGTAATGAAACCCTGATGATAATTATCATTCTCAGTTAATTTTCTATATGTTTTTCAGATCAGCTCTTCAAAACAAGATGTACTGGCAAATCATTCTGACCACGGCTGTGCTGTTGGGTAAGTTACCAGTGTTAAAAATAAGTTTGTTGGAAATGGTTTAGAATGAAAGGTACTCACCATTTCTGTTCGCAGTGGTCTTTCAAGTCATATTACTGCATTAGGATGGTATCACAATATGCAGCTAGTATATGCAAAGGTCCTGATTTATCGTTGTGCAGAGCTGAAATGTTGATGCTCTCGGGGCTGTGCCTTTGTATGTTATCCCAAAAGGCATCACAGTTGAACTGTAAGATCAGGATACATCAGTAGAATATATCTGGTGGGTCAGAATGTGTTCAGATAAATGCCTCAGTCAAAATTTGGGAAGATGAGAAACTCACAGGCATTTGTTCTGTTAACCCTAGCAAGTCCAAAAGCAGTTGGGAAAACCCAGGTTTCTCTGGAACTACAAAGTTTCTGCTCAGTTCAGTGTAGCCAAGGTGTCACTTCGAGTTTGAGCTTTGTTTGTTTTTGGTAGCTGACATTTTCTTTCACGTGCACAATGCTGTTAAAGAGTGCTTAATTCACTGTAAATGTTGATGAATGTAATAAGCTGTTGTTCTAATTGGGAAATGTCCACAACAATGTTGGTGTATGCTCTTCAGGGACAGATGGTATTTTGCCTTTCATTGTTTTGATTGAAAAAAGAACTACTTAAAGACTTGATGATAATGTTCATGGAGAAAGCAGATACCACGATCCAATGAAGTTAGTTTCAAAATCTGCGTCTTTTATCTTCATGAAGGATGAAGAAATTGTTAGGCAGTGCACATGCAGCGTCAAATATTGTGTTGATGACAAATTCTTCTTTCAAATACCTTATGTAATCTAAAGATGTTGTGCACCTTTTCATTAGAAAACCTGAATGCTTCAGGGAGTTTTCATTAGGCTTCAGAGCTGTTGTGTGGCCTGCAACGACAGAAAATCAGTGCATCTATTGACTGGCCATCTCTGTGTCCAAATAAGCAAATACCCATGGTTAGCATCTTTGTAGCTCTCTTAACCCAGGCACTTAAACACAGAGCCACTTGAGAGGCAGATCTGTGTGTGACGGCCTCCCATGTGTCCATGGCACAGAGAAACAGTTCCGTCTGGAGCAGGGAAGTGTTCTTAATGCATGCTGTGATAGCAGGCATTTAAAAGCTAGAGCAAGCCTATGCCAAACATTCTGTGTTGTAATTCATTATGGCTCTTTTATTTTTAAACACGTCTGCGGAAATGGCAAGTAGCTGCATACATTTTGATTTACGGGATCTAATTAATCCTGTGGTGTTGATGGTGTGATAAGAGAGGGGAGAGTGTGTTTTTTAGGAGAAAGGTGACTTGGCAGGAATCTCTTTGCACCCCTCAATTGACTCCGTGAATTGGGCAGTATATTGGTTAACTGTCCTGCTTCGTAGGCAGTCACGTCACTTACTCATTTGTTCTTTTTTTAATCATGTATTTTGGACTAATAGTCTGTTCAGTCAACTGAATCCTCCATATGGTGCCAGGGAGCCTAATGAAGCTGATATTTACAGAGGCACAAACTCTTTTAAACAAGACAGGAGAAAAGAGCAGAACCCCTCAGGAGCCTGGCATTACAAAATCTGTGTAAAGACAAAACGAAGCACTTCAACGCTCTGTGTAGTGATGTGGTGTCTGCTTTTAATGCAGTGCGCATCTACTTTTAAAAAGCTTTCATTTTGTATTTTTACATTATTAACCTATGCACTATTAATCAAACAGTGCTAGAGATTTTTTTTTTGCTATTATTTTAGATGTTGCAAGGCACAGAATATGAATTAATTTCTATCTAATGAGTGTTTTAAAATATTTATGCCCTAACTGAGCAAAAAGCTAAAAGCAAAGAAGTGCACAAATCACACTCATGCCTTTCTGTAACTGGAGCTTTAATCTTTGGCATTTATTCAGTGTTTTACAGTAAGCTATTCCCAAAAGCGATCCGTTCATCACTCTCAGAATCATTGTTAGCGCAATTCAAGCCATGGCTTACCAACAAGAGCTATGACTGTGGTCGGAGCACTTTTATTTTGAAGAATCTAAGTCTGATGGAAAGATCTTTGATTCTGTGACCATTTTTTTCCTACATCTCATTTCCTAGATAATGCTCTGGCGTTGCATAGTTGCGTCCAGTCGTATATTCTGGTAATGCTGTTCCGTGGAATTTAACAGTTACAATGTGACTGTGTTATATTTACAATGGGATTATTTTTTTGCTGCACTAATGGCACCATGTTATTAAGAGCTGGATTGCAAACGTCCCAGCGGAGTGTGTTAATTTAGAATTAGGATTTGGTGTATTCTAAATGAACAGAAGCCAGTTTACCCCAAAGTGATGCTTCCCCTACAGTCTTGATCTTGACCTATTTGAAGAGGTTGAGAAAACAAAATGTTTGTTGTAGTGACTTTGATAGAGGAAGTTGGCATTTGGCGGTTGTGACACCAGTTCAGAGGGTGTGATTTTCAATATTTTTGTTTCCAGCTCAGAGGAGATAAGCCCCTGGAAATGATTTGATTTTTTTTATTTCTTCTGTAATGAAAGTGTTTCTGTGTAACATCAGCCACTCCTTTCATTGTCAAGTGATAAAAACTTTTACCTTTATTTTTGGTATCTTTTTCCTTTGTCTTTTTATTTGCAGACTTCATTCACGCGGCAGTTGCCCATTGTATGGTCCATCAGATTCTTCCCAGGAACTTTACGTTACCCTGTATGTTGCTGAATGAGACAGTTTTGAGTCCTTTCTCTGCTGGAGTTGTAGAGAGCTGGTCTGGTTTGATGAGAGAGCATGGAGCTGCTGAAACCAACCCTCACTTGCTAATGAATGAAGAAAGTTTTCTGTGTTGCCTTTGGAGTGATAACAACATTGATTGTTCTTTGTACAGAGCAAGCATGCAGCCAAGGATGTTTATTCCTTCAGAAATCAGCATCTCTGCTTCTCAGGAAAGAGGTAGGTTTTTCAGTCAAAGGCATGGTAAGTTACTTGTTCTCCAAAAAAAAGGCAGTTTTTTGTTTTTTTTTTAGTAGCTTTTTGTTTTTTGTTTTAATGGGTATTATTTTTTATCCAGAGCAGACAACATAGTATAATATATCAGAAGTTTGCAGTGGAAGGCAAAATAAAGTGATAATAGCACATGTCATTCAGAATTTCTGTAGAAAGACAGAAAACTATTTTTTTCCCTTTGAATATGTAGCACTGCTTAGAGGATGCCCATGGAACATGGGACATTTTGCAAGCCCGAATCTTCACAGGTGTTTAGATGTTTTGGAAAAGAGTTCAATTTTTTTTTTTTTTTTTTTTTTTTTTTTTTTTTTTTGTGGATGTGGTCTTTAAACTCCTTTAGGAGGGAGGAGATGGGAGGAGGACACCAAGTGCCTTCTTCCCTGACTGGATTGCTATGCCTTTAGTAAATATCTGTGCGTGGATTTGATGGAATTACTTTTCCTAGACTGTCTTTCTTCCTCTGTAAACCACACTATGCGAGCAACATAGGGACCTGGTGGTCTGCTGACTTAGGTAGAGTTCTGTTTTACAAGTGTTGTCCCATGGGAGAAAAATCTCTTTTAAAGACTGCCACACGAAATGTGCTGCAGTTGTGTATGCCATACAACTGCATGTGTGAACAGAGCATATGCAGTGCAGCCACACAGAGGCTGTACGTGTTAGCAGCAAAATCTTCAAGCAGCAGCAGCTTCATTTCTTACTTTGCCTTGTTGCCTTGTCCCTATAGCTCTGTAAAATATATTCCTTCTCTAATTAGAATGCAGCAGGCTGTTACCATACAAGTGGTTAACCTTTTCTGTGTTTAAGGCTGTATACTGGTCCCCAGTTCAAAAAGGATTGTTTATACACATTTGCGTATGTGGGGTCCAGCCTTGCCTTCATGAGTATTTGTTACTTGTCTCTTTTTTAGGGAATTGTACTCTGACTCTTCTGTTGTTTTTTGGTTTTTATATAGTTCAGAAATGTTTTCTCTCTTCCTTTTGTTTAGATTCAAATTGGAACATTGAATGTTGGATTAAAGGCAAGCTGGATCTGTTAGTTTGTAGCCTCCGGTTTTTGAAGCTACACTTGAGACCTGATTTGAAGGTTAATCTTTTATACGCTGTGTAAGTACAGACTTAAATTTCCCACTGTTGGCATTAGAAATCCGAAAGCATTTTCAAAAACATCAGCATTAGTCTCCCAGGCTTGCAGCACATTAGTAGCATTAGCTTTACAAGCTGATGATGTGGTTTATACCTTGCCTTATCTCAAAGTAATCAAAGGCAGTACAGAGGAAAGCATGTGGTTCTATTTTTGAATGAGAAACGATAAGCTTGGAGGGCCCCTCTCCTCTGTTCTTACCATGCTTCTTGAAATGCTTTAATGAAATCCCTACTGACTTGCTAAAATACCTTTGCTGTTACACTTAATTCTAAAGCTGTGATCTTGGTTCTGCATTTTTGATGTTTTTGACCATAATGTTCTCTCAAAGTAATTACGTGACTTGGCATTGTATTAAATGTTGCTGTGATCACACTGGTGCTGCTGAGCGGCACCCACCTGCGTAGTTGTCACTGGCGTAAATACTCCCTGTAACGGTAGTACGTGGTAATCATCCCGACTGGGGGGTGGGCACATCTTTGGTACAGAACCCATCTGTTTTGATTTTAAACCAATCTATTTGATAACACTTCCAAAACCACGCTGTTTCTCCTGTATTATTGGTAGGTTGGAAGGAATAGTGTGAACATGCAGACTGAATTTCTTCAGGAAACAAGCTAAGTATAAAGAGTTGGCCATGCTGAATTTACAGGTGACAACTTCTGTTTAAAATACAGAACTGGATGACAGGTATCACTTACCACAAATTATATCTGTAGTCAGTGTAGGAAGCAACACTGTTAATTGATAATAAGTGTGGTTGTTTAGTTGGCATCATGCGTTAAAGCTGAAACCAGATTTTGAGTGGGTTCCCACTTTGAGTGTTCCTCACTTTGCTTTGTGGCGTACCGCTACGTGTGTGTTTGTGGGAGAAGCAGATCTGCCTTTGCCTCTGTTCCATTCAGTCTCAGCTGCAGTAGGAAAATCTCAGCCAGTAATCCTAGCGTAGTAATCTGTATATTGATTTTTTGGGGGTATGCCTGACATCCGTGGAACAGCAGATTCAGGTCCCAGCTGGTATGAAAAGGTTCTTTGTATTTTGAAGGGAATTCAGTAAGTATCGTGCGATTTATGAGAGGAGGCCCTAAAGGCTCCCTAGAGTTCTTGTGGCATTTCTGTATTTGATTACTTTTAGCTGAAAAGGCAAGATGCCGTGCAGTCCCTGACACTGTTTCACTACCCAAACTTAACATTAATGTTTTTCTTTTAGGGTTCCTGTGTTCTGGGGGAATAGCTAGCAAAGCATTTCAGATTGTATGAAGGTGACAGCTTCCCCTCTTGGCTTGCTGATACCTTAACGTTTTATTCGCATGAGCCAAAATACCTTGAAAACATTCCCAGATTTAAAAATATGCATTCCTGGCATGTGTTACTCCCTGGGAGTCTGGAACTTAGGCCAGAATTCTCACATATAAGACAAGCAATGTATGAAAATAATGACCTACAAGAATCAACATCACAAAGTTTGAGTCCTCAGCAACTTTTGAGTTTTTCAGGATTAAAGATGTATCTTTTTTATTCTACACATCCACAGTTTGCCTGCTCATAAATAATACCAAGTTACTTTGAATAGGAAATGTTTTGTTCTGTCCGAAACAGTGCTATGATAGAGCTGTTACCTCCCCCAGCACTGTGTCTTTGGGAGGAGAAAGATTATTCTGAAACATAATTAGACAAATTAGGTTAATTGTCTCCCAAAAGTGAATGATCTTTCCAGTTGTATGTATTCTAGGAATGCTGCAAACCTTGATGGTAATTACATTAACTGAAATCACTTAGCCTTAGGGATCCTTTTGCAGTGACACAGATGAATGCTCCCGGTTGAATTTTGAGCGCTGCCTACAATTTGCCCTTTCGGTGGATGGTGATGCATCGGGTGTGCTCGTGTTTCTGCCCTGTTCTCAGTACCTGTGGGACACTGCTTGACTTCTGGGCCTAGGCTTCTGGGTTCTGAGGGATAAATCACACAATTTACCTCAAGACTGGTGCCTCGGTTGAGCACATCATTTATACGTGGAGTGTTCTTTAGCTGGAGAATACGAACCTTTCCTTAGAGACTTGGCATCTCGTGAGCTAGGCAGCCACCAGATGTTCTGTGATGGTAAGGGGCAGCTTGTTCAAAGAAGTGTTGACCTAGAGCTGCTATATTTCACATGAATTTATATATACTTATTGAAAATCCTTAGAACACCAGGCAGCCTTGCTCTATCAGTTCATCCATAAAGATGGCACTTGCACAAGCACGGTATAGAGAAATACCAAAAGTGGTGTTACAGTGGTGATCTCACTTCTCACAGGCCTCAACATAGCTACCCAAATGTGCTGTTGTACCTTTCTTGAAAATAGAAGAATTGCATTTCTTGTATCTCTTCTAAAAAAAATCTGACCCTTTGTTTTCAGTCAGATGTTCCAGTTGCAAGAAATAATTTAAACTTCTGGAGAGATATTTTGCAGCTTGTCATTTTCATTTCATTCAAGTCTAAAAATTCAGTACAGGGCCACAGAATAATTTAGCAAAAAATATCAACACTTTCTGAAGTATGTGTGAAAACATCTGGGAGGCCTTCACTTAATGTGTTGACTAAAAGAACTGTCCCTGCACAACTGAAAATGATACTTAGAGTAAAAAAGAAAAGCAGGTGTTGGACATACGCCCGTGTTGATTACATCTGTGGCTCAGGCCAAGCGTTATTATAATTTTTTCTCCTGTTGTGTCTTGTGCTTTAGCCACTTGTTTCCGTCTTAGTCACATCTCACATCACCTTTGCACATTTTCCTTCCCTTCTCTGTAAACTATTGAAAGCTTAACTTCAGTTCATTAGTTTTCTCTTGAATGTCAGAGGTGGGCTCTTAGAATCCATTCACAAAAGTCTGTGTGTTTAGTACCTGTCTGTTTTTTTGCTCATCCCTCAGAGCCAAGACAAATCTCTGATTCCCCCAGCCAGCACTGTAAAACTGAATGAAGACAGCAATATGCACTCGTGTATTTGCTAAGCCCTCTATCTTTCCTCCCCCCTCCCCAACAAGTTGGATGTGGCTACTGTTGTGAGATGTGAAGTGCTTCCTGAACCAGGATTTATAGCTCAGCGTGCTGCAAGTTTCATAGGAAACTCCATTTTTAACAGCCTGTTGCTTTGTTTTAAGTTTGTCCAGAGTTCTTCCTCTCACCCCACTGAATGAAGACACTGACCTCTCCTGAACTTCTGAGGGCTGTATAAGCATGAACTCTTCTACAGTCAGTATTTGTAGTTTGGGAACAATGGTTATTCTGTGACTGGATCCATCTGCAGCCAAACTGGGGATGACAGGCAGCTCGTGCAATCCCTGGCTGTGGCTGTTCTCCAAAATACTTTGGCTTTCTGTTGTTGTGCTTGTAATTGAGACTCATGTGTTTAGCCCTGGCTTAGCAATTTGGAATGAGGTGATGTGGGGGCCCCTCAGAAAGCTGTCATCCACTGATCTTATCCCAAACTCGATGTTGTGAGATGGTCCCTGTGTCTTGCCAGTTCTCCCAAATGCAGAGATCATTATCTTCTTTCTCAGTGTCTGGCTATCTTCCCTTGGGAGTGCATCTGGTAATGTGGCTTAGGCTTTTCCTTTGCTTTGTGTAGCTGCCTGGGGAGGCAGCGAGGTGTCAGAGAAGCATACAGTGCAGAAGTGAGATCTTGGTAGTTTCTTGATACAAAGGGGTGGAAGACCTGCCTGGTATGGAGCCATTGGCTTTTCTTCTGGTTGTGCCTGCTTTATACAGTAAATAGATTTAAAAAAAAATGTTTCTAGAAAACTTGAGCACAAAATTAATAATTCTGGAGAACACAGATGTCTTTTTTTTTTTTTTCTTGAATAATGTAAGTTGTTGAAATTTAGTACTAAAGTATGTTCTGAATGGTGGAGTTCTTTAGCCTGTTGTTACTTCAAATACTGTTTTCACTGGGATAAGAGTTTTTGGCTATTGTATTACTTATAATGTTTAATGGTAGCAGAAGCTAGAAGGAACATTACATTTGTTTAGATTTTATTTTGGTGCCCCACGAGTAGGATTTCAAATGAAATCTCTGTGGGAGTGGCAGAGATAACTGCATTTAGTCCAGGGTAGGGTAACTGACTTTGTGTGCTCAAGGAGCATTTAGTAATGGTTGCCATCAGGATTTGGGAAGTAGTCTGACAGAACTACAGGTCTCATCTAGTATGGTAATGCGTTTGTTTTAAGGTCAGTCCTTAGGAATACTTTTCATTAAATCATCTTAACTACTTTAAACCATTTAAAAGGGAGAAGCAGCAAATACAATTAGTTACAATTACTGTCTTTTTAACTTTTCTCATTACAGTTTTTTTGTAAATAAACCTTACCCAGAGGACAAATCTCCTCTATTGAAATAGCATTGAGAAAACAAACAAACAAAACATTTTATGTTGTTGTCCTTGTTTTTTTTTTTTTTAATTTATTTTTTTATTTACCTTTTAGATCGGATCTGCCACTGGGAGATGTATCTACAAGCTCTCTGAAGGGGGCTGCCGTGGCTGCTCAGTGTGGCTGCAGTGAGTACGGCAAGTGTGAATGCTGTGTGCCTTCTCCGAGACTCAACTACACTTACATCATGTGGCTGAAGATTGTGACTGGGGTAACACCTCTTTGGTCGCCTTTGATGGCAGTCAAGCCCATAGATATCAGTAAGTATTACATACATTTTAAACGTTTATTTAGTAGGGAGAGGGATGTCTTTGTGGAGAAGGAGTGCACAGGCAGAACAGGAAGAGACTTGCTGGTGCTGTCTGAGTTGTTCAGGATGGTGCCATACACATTTCTTAGCTGTCTAACTCATGTTGAAGCTCTAGTACAAAATCATACTCAGTAAAGGCAACCTTCAACATACTTGAGCTTTTATTTCTAATTGGGGCCTCTTTGTGCCTAAGTTTGGGGCAGTGGTGGAGGTTAACTTTCTGTGTTGCTGAGGACTTAAATTAAAAAGTGAGGAAGAAAAAAACCTGTACCTGATGTTACTTTGCAGTTAAGAATCTCTCTTCTCTCTAGCAGCTCTGTTGTTCTTATGCTTTCTTCCTTACACATACAATTCCAGCATTTTCAAAGTTGAAAAAAGTCCTCTAATATTTAACCAAATGAAAACCCTACTGGCATAATGAATTTGATATGTGTTCCTCTCCAGTATGCACAGTTATTACAGACCTTGGCAAATTTCAAAAAGGTAGGGACTGTCAGCTGAGGGGGGAAAATAGAATTTTTGTAAACTTATTTCTGACTGATGTGCTTTGCAGACAGAACAAGCTAAAAGTCTCTGGGTGAGATAGTTTTAAAGATGAGAGGTTGCATATATGTCGTGTTGCTTTTAAGTAATGCCACAGGAAAAAAATAAAAATTCAGAGTCGAGCCTGCCAGTGTTTAAAAATTATATTATTAAATTGTTCTGCTTAGCGGAATATATTTGAAAAATGCATAATATTAGTATGTGCTCTGCCAAGATTTAGCTGAGTTAAAAATTAGTTGGAAAGTAAGATGCACAAAAGTGTGATGTAAAAGTTACGTTTTTTTTTGTTTTAAAAGCTATGAGCCTCCACCCACATCAGTAATTTCTGCTGGTCTTGAATAAGTTAATTGCATTGAGATGGTATAGAGGATTTGGATTAGTAATAAAAAATAAGTTCTGATTTCATATACTGTGTTTGTGCTGAAAATAATAGCAGTTTTTCGGTAAGCTGAGTGAGTTTCCAGTAATACCACCTGTATGAGGTGACTTGAGCAAAGAAATCAAAGAATGGCCACTTCATATCTGCTCCAGTGAGCCCCAGGGCAGCTGTAGGAGTACACTTCCCAGTCATATTACATGACATTGCTCTGTCACACGTTATCTGTAGAGCAGCTCGTGAAAACTGAACTTAAAGAAAAGGTATGAAAGAAAATCCAGAATTGGTAGGTCATTACAGCCAGCAGTCACAGGCAGTGAGGTTAGCTGTAAACTTGTCAATTAATTTGTCTGCAGTAAAGCCTGAACCTCCTCTGAACCTGCACCTAGAAATGACAGAGAAAGGTGAAGTGAGGATCTGCTGGTCTGACCCCGTGCTGATGCCATATCCCCTCCAGTACGAAGTGAACATCTCTGGAAACGCAGGTCCAAATGGCTGGCAGGTGAGTCAGCTCAGCTCTGTCCCTCTGCCTTTCCCTTTCTTTTCCCTAAATCGTTACGTAATAGTAATGGCTCCTGATAATCCACTAGGTGGTTCGAGTTGCTTTAAACACCTCATTGGCCATTGACAATTTGCTGCTTGATTCCTCCAATTTCGCTCAAGTGCGGTGCAAGAATCATTATGGTCCAGGGTTCTGGAGTGACTGGAGCACGCCATATAATCTGAAACTGGGAGGTAGGTCATGTGCAGTCATCCTGAGTAGTAAGCAGGCTTTCAGAATACAATACATTTTTCCAGTTTGTTTTGTTTTGTGGGATCGCTGTGTGTGAGCATGTGTCCAGGGAGAAGCACCACAGTATGTGCATGATTTGGGCTGAAAATTCCTCTGGAAACTGTTTAACCTGCTGCTTCGCTTCTGATATAAATTTACCTGAACTCCTACTCTTTGCTTTGCATAACATTTGCGTGAAATGATTAATGCATGGAGACTGCACAGTCAGCTTCATGACACCTCCATATGTGCCCTGTTACTTGCTCACCAGGCACCTGTTCAGGCCCAGCAGCTCTTTTTCTAAGGGCTTTTCTAAGGGTTTTTCCATTTCAAAGGACAGCAGTGTTTAAATTCTACTCGATTTTAAAAAACAAAACAAAACAAAACCACAATTTTTCTCTTAATGCTTTCTCTAACTTTTAGTTTAGCACGAGGCTCTGTAGCTGAAGTAAAAGTGCAGAATACAGATTAGGGTTTGTAGATTTAATATAATCCATTTTGGTACCTAGATGTACACCTGGTAGCTGTAGGCAAAATAGTGTTCTCTCTCATGTGCACATACACTCTTATTTTCAGAAGAGGTTTCTGAGTGTGTTGAGAAATATGTATGTAAAAGAGGTAGATACCGTTAGATTTATTTATTTTTTGTAATGCTGTTTGGGATATGCAATTGTATTAAACATACATCTCATCAGCAAAATAACCCCATTGTGATAAGCCTGATGCAGCCTAGAGAGAGTAATTTCTTCACTGCAGGAGGCTCAAATTGACATATTTTCCCAATGGCCAATGTTGGGATGAGCCAGAGGAAGACCAGTGGAGTGTGCAGCACAGCTGGTAGTTGTTAACAGGAATGCTGCCTTGAATTCAGGTGTGCACGTGACTGCCAGAAGAGTATATGCTGAAATCCAGCAGTTACATGTTTGTACAGCTGACTAGTTTCATGTTCTGATTTATATTTAATAAGAAAGTCTCTGACAATGACAGTATTTTAGGTTTTCTCTGCTATCTAAGAGGGTCTGTGTTTTGGAAAAGTTCTGAAAATATCTGAGGTGGTTCCTGAACTACAAAAAGCAAACTTGGCCAGTTAAGGAGTTTGATGCTGGCTTTGGGTCTCTGACAAGCTGTTCATTTTCAGCCAGTGTATAACACATGCAGCTTCCCAAAGTACTTTACTGATGGAGGCTGAGCTTATGCATGTGTATACGCTTTGTCATGTGTCTTTATGCCTAGGTGAATCGCTTATTGAATCACTGCTACCATTTGGTATCAGCTATGTTGTTCAGATTGTAAAGCAATTTTTTAGACTTTAATCTCCTGCTGACTTTAATAGGAGCAGGATTATTAACTATTGGAAAGCTTGATTTTTCTGTGCTTCTGAATAGCAAATCTCTCAAAACCTATGTTCCAGTATTACAGAAATGGTTCAGCTAGCATATACCTTCGACATCCTTTCAGGGTTCTGATAGATGGATTTTTTTTTTTCAAACCTACACACTGCTCTTCACTCAATTGGATCTTCTCTCACTTCTACCTGAGGACAATTTTACAATTTTAAAATCTGTTGTGTATGCATTGTTGAGTTGTGCTACAGAAGCTAACTTTTTCGACGTACCAAGTACTTTTTGTAGCATTCAAATAAGATGATTTTTCAAAAGTGGATAAACACACTCATTTGGTTGGACCTGATGCCTTAAAAAAAGTGGGCTGAGTATGAAGTAGCAGTGTTGATCTAGTTTCCCAAGATTTAATTTACAGGAGCCCGTATGACTCTCTGTTTCACTTATGCTGCTGTGCATTGTTTTTCACTCTACTCCCCAGTGATTTTCTACTCACTTAATTCCTGTTTGCCTAGCGATGTTAAAGATTATTTTTATCAGAATTTACAGACATCAGTTATAGAAGGAGACAGTCAACGGCCTATTTCTGCTCCTCTGCCCTATAATGATTAATAATTATTAAGCTGGAAGAAGTAGGTGATTTAGAAATACAACTGGATAATAAAATTTTCTATTGACATATATGTTTTGTTGTTGTTGTTCTGATCTAATCTCAATGGACTTTTTTCCTTCCTTGTAGCTGAAGTCTTGTACTTCCCTTCTAAGATACTGACCAGTGTTGGTTCTAATGTTTCATTTCATTGCATCTATAAAAACCAAACCAAGAACGTATTGTCAAGGAAGATTGTTTGGTGGCTGAACTTAGCAGAAGAAATCCCAGAAAGTCAGTATACGCTTGTGAATGATCGCGTAAGCAAAGTTACTCTTTTCAACTTGAAAGCAACAAAACCTAGAGGAAATTTCTTCTATAACGCATTGTACTGTTGTCATCAAAATAGGGAATGTCATCATAGATACGCTGAATTATATGTAGTAGGTAAGATTCCAGATTATTTTAAATTATAATTTTGGTGCATTTTAATAGTAAGGTTAGAATATTTCAGTCTTAAACTCTACCGAGCTTTTATCAAGTAGTTATGACTTGTAATGCATGTTTTCTGTATAAAGAAGTATATCTTTATTAATAAACATTTAATGTGTTTTTAATTAGATGTGAATATCAATATCAAATGTGAAACTGATGGGTACTTAACTAAAATGACTTGCAGATGGTCCACAAACCCAAACACTTTGCTCGTGGGGAGTTCCTTGCAGTTAAGATACTACAGGTGTGTATAGCTTTAAATGCACTCTTTGTTTGGAAAGTGCTACCCTGGAAATACTTTAACAGCAAAGAATTCTGAGTAGTTATAATTATGAAATGTGCACAGTTTCTGTAAGCTGGATTTTTCCTCAGCTGGGACTCCAGAGGCATTATTTTTCCAGAGCTTTATTTATTTTTTTTTTTGTCTTTTGGACACACAAGAAAACTGGAGTGGGTTGCAGAAAAAAGAAGCTTAAAAAAGACAAAATTGATTATTAAATCAGTGATATAATCATCTTCATTCATACAATTAGTGCCTGTGAAAGTATTGCTTTACCATGAAATAAAAAGAATCCCTTTGAGTTACTAATACATTGAGTTTGAGAGTTTTCCTAAAATCGTGTTAGTATTTATACAAACAAGACAGACAGACAGCCCGTCCTGAGGAATAATCTTTTGTTTTACTGGACTCTTTGCTGGACTAGTTATGCAAAAGTTTTGCCAAAATAAGCTTAAACCAGCCCTCAGAGCCTAATCCTTTGGAAAGCTGAGCTGTCTTTGCTAATGAAGGTGGGTTTAATTTTTGAAATATTATCGTACTGAGATGAATATTTCTCAGGATTTTGTGGACTAAAGCAATGACTGAAATGGTTGAGATTTCATGTGGAGACTTTTAGGGCATGATTAGTGACTAACTGACTAGTAAGGTAGGTTTTGTTTTGTCTGTCTTCACAAATATGAATGTAATGAGTGCACTGCTGGGCAGGGAGCCTGAAATAAACACTGTGCTGCTCTTGCCATGGTTTTTATTCTCACTTCTTCATTGTTCAGGTTCAGCTAAAAAAGGTGGTTTGGTGTTTTTTGAATGCTACATGCTAACCTGTCCATTTGCTGCAGTGTTCATGCCTGATGAAACACTGAACTGAAAATGCCTGCCAAATGATAGTATTTAATATGATTTTTCCTTCCGTCTGTTGGGTTGCTTTGTTTTGGTTGTTTGGGTTTTATCTTAGTTGTGTTTGTGTCTGGTTCTGCTTTGTTAATACTAAGGTCTGAAAGATCAAATAAATAAATAAAGTTCATGGGGAACCCACATGAATGTAGTGACTACCAAAAAGTTTCAGGATAGGACCTATAAAGGTTTATAGCTATGAAAACAGCATCACCATTTACATAGCATTCTATTGCATATTGTGAACAAAAATACAAAATGAACGTTTACTAGCCTGAAACCTGCTAAAACAGTCATTTAAAAAAAATAAAATTGTCCAAGCTCGATCATAGGAGACAAGGACAAATATACTGGAGTTGCGAGTGGTTGGTTAGATATAGGCAAGTCCTCGGGATAAAGGTTAGAAATTAAATGCTTTGCGTTGACATCAGACACATCAGATTTTCCAAGAGCATGCAGCTATTCTTCTTACTGATGTGATTACATTTTACAGATGAAATCCCATGCTCTGTAATAATGTGGTGTGCTAGCTTTGCATGTTGGTGTTTTGTTTTCATTGGCTTGTTACTACGTCTTCCTCTAGAGTTGGTGCTGCCAACACTAACAGCACAGAAATGATCATCCTAGAAAAACAGAATGCTAAACGAAACCTTCAAAGCACCAGACAACTGTTTAATCAGTATTAGCTATGTTGACAGGAAGAGGAAGGATTCAGCTAAGTCTTAACTTTTGTGGTCCGGCTGAATAGCTAATACCCGATCTGGCCGCTCTCACCATGAGTCTGAGCTGTGCCCAAGCTTAGGAGAAATTTGGAAATTTGCCTTCCCAGCTCAGATAGTGTCACTGCCATTTTGTTCAGAGCCCGGGTCTCCTCTTCTGTGGCCAGATGTGATACTGACCACATGTGGGATTTTAAAACCACCCTCTGGCATTGATACTCATTTGGGATTTCAGTCTCCTGGAGACTTCCCTGTGCAGATCTGTTTGGGTGACTTTGCCCTGGTCATCAGGTGGTGTTTGGAAAGGCACTATGTCCCAGCTGGAGGTCTGCCTTGTTAAGAAAAAACACTCCAGTAACACGATTCATGAGTATTAGAGATGCCTGTACCTTTCTTTTTGTACCTCTTCACGTTGTTAGTCTGTTATCAAACGATTTTGCACTGGGGAAAGGCTTCCACATCCTGCATGTTTTTTTCAGGCTGAAGAGGCCAGAGCTTTTAAGAGTATCACCACAGTGTTTACTTATCCATTCAGTGCAGACTTAGTTTAGACAGATCTTGAACTTAACATCAAAAAAAAAAGCAACACACATTTCCAGTGACACCATCTGTATTAATTGCCTTCTGAGTTCTATTGTACTGATGTCATGAGCAGCCTGTTGTTGCAGTGTATTAACTTAATGTTTTTTTTTCCCTCTTTTTAAGGAGCAAAATTTATTGTCCTAACTTTCCAAGTATCCCTCCAGAATCAGAGGTGAAAGAATGCCATTTACAGAGGAATCATTCTTATGAGTGCATATTTCAGCCTATTTTTCTTTTATCTGGATATACCCTGTGGATAGAGTTTAAGCACTCGCTAGGAACACTTGAGTCCTCACCAACTTGTGTCGTTCCAGCAGATGTGGGTAGGTCAAGATTTCTGCACGTCTTTCTTTGCTTGTGACCTTGGATTTCAAACCTTATATGGTATAGATAAAGTACTTCTTAGCATTTTAAATGTATTACATTGTGGAAAGAACATAAAAACATAGGAGTTTCAGTGTCATCTTCTAAAAAAACATTGGATTAAATGTTATTTCCATAGATTTTGCTTGGCACAGGAGCAGACTGTAGCTGCAGCTAGTACCTATGAAACATTCAGTTTTGCATGTTTGTCCTCAAGTGTTCTGCAAAGACATCTACAGAAAAAAAGAGTATTTTAAAGATTATTTTAAAGATCAGTCTCATTTTTAAGATTATTGATTAGCTAACTTTTCTGGTCTTCAGCTGGTTAAGGTTTTCTCCTACAAGGAGAGCCCAAGAGAGCTGGGACTGCTCAGCCTGGAAAAGAGAAGGCTTGGGGGATCGCAGTCTCTGTAAATAACTGAAGGGAGGTGCAAAGCCTCAGCCCTACTGTGATTCTCTGGAGGCTGTGCTTTGATGCAGTGTAGTGCTACATGTGAATTACTTACATGCCTGCTCATTCCTGTTTAAAATCACAGGAACTGTTTATGTTCTTGCTTGCTTTTGCAAAGTTTATTTTGCAACACACAGAGCACTTAAATGTGTGTGAAAGCTAGAGGCAGAAACAGTGCTTGAGTGTTTTCAAACACTGCAAAATGTGCAAAGCAAGTCTTGTTGTCTGGTCTGTGAGTCAGAGCATTCGTTGGACTGTGTATTGCTTTGGACACAAATGTGAACATATGCAGAGAGAACACATTGCAGCTTTGGCTTTGTGTGACTTCTGCAAAAAAAATTGTTCTACATCTATCCCCAAAGAGGAAATCGCAGTTTCCCACCCAGAATTAGTGTCTGCAATAGATAAGTTCTTTCTGTCTTCTAGGTAGACCACAAAACTGCTACATGTAACAAAGCAAAATAATGTATATCTATTTGGGGGGCAGGGAGGGAGAAGTGTGCACATAGCATAAATTAAACCAAAGTATGCTTTTCATTTCAAATTTTAAATAGAGGGAGCAAAAAATAAATTTATGGGAAGGAAATGAGAAGTTTGATGCATTTATAGCTGAGTGGGATATGGGATTTAGCATTTGATTATTACTATTTTAGTGGCCTTGTGGTTTTCAAGGTTGCTTCTGTCAAGTTCAAAGAGGATTGTTTGGAGCCTTGAGCTTCAGAAATAAAAGTGGTGTAAGGGTTGGTGGGGGAGATCCTGCACTTTAGCTGCTCAGATTTGCCAAAAAACCTGGAGCTTGCCTGCGTGGCTGTACTGTTAGACTGTGTCAGGGACTTACGTGCTTTGCAGGGTGTTAGAGGTTGGTAGGCTGTTTCCTTCTGGGGAGAGGTAGCGGCTTTATGTGATGCTGCCCAGTGAGGAGTGCTAGCAAGTGCAGGCCTTCAGCTGCAACAGCCCACAGACCTTCAGGAGGCTGGTTTACTCAAGTCATCCCTTCAAGGAAAAAGCAATGAATGGAATTGACCTACATTGGATGAAGGATGCTCTGTATTGTAGTAAAACAAAACCTATGCATTTTGGTCTTGCCCAGGATTTAAAACTTATTTCAAGTTTTTTTTTTTTTTTTCCCTCCATCACCAGCTCAGTGGTCAAAACAAATTTATTCTAACTTGGCTTTGTTAACAAACTGTACAATTCTGGAAAATAAAACCTTCACGTAAAATCTTCATTAATGTTTCTATAAACCTGCATTGTCTATGTCCTTTATAAGATCTGCCTTTTGGGGCCACACAGGCTTCTACTTTGTACACTGGTGCACCCTATTAGTGGCAGACTACGTCTTTTGTCATTAGTACCATATGAATTGTTGTGTTTGCTTCATGATCCAACTTTACGTGGAGTAGTAGAGGCCGTGGTGTTACTTGCCACCCTTGGGAAGGAAGAAGGTAGACCACAATGACTTGATTTAGTGAGAAATGTCAGTGCAGTTATTAGTATTTTTTTTCTTTCAATTTTCTAGTGAAGCCACTTCCTCCCTCTGACATTAAAGCAGAAATCACCAGAAATGATGGGCTGCTGAATGTGAGCTGGACAAACCCTGTGTTTACCAATGATGATCTAAAATTTCAGATTCAATATGCTGAGAAGAGGGAAGAACTAACATGGGAGGTACTGTTTTCTTAAAATCTGTGTTGAAGTGTGAATTGTTGCAGTGTCACTTAGGGTGTCAGCTAGGGTTTATGGAGTTTGTTTTATGCAGTGAATCACAGTTCTAACATGTGAATTATCTAGCAAATAAATGTGACTGAGTAGGCCACTTCTCACTGGATTTATTTTCAGGAGTTTTGATTGTAACAAATACCTAAACAACCTTTTGTTCTTACTCTGAGTATTTTGCCTTCTGTTACAGCTGTATGAAGTTTCAAATTTGCCAACGAGATCTGCTATGATAAAGGTTCAGAAACTCTGTGTTGAGTATGTTGTTCAGGTCCGCTGCAGAGCACTGGATGGTTTAGGTTACTGGAGCAACTGGAGCAAATCAGCTTATGCAGTTGTGAGAGATATCAAAGGTATGTGTGCTTTCAGATCATGCTCTGATGCTTGGTGCAGTTTCAGACTCAGATGTGACACTGTTCTTTCAAAACTGTCGTCTTGCAGCTCCCTTACAAGGCCCTGAGTTTTGGAGAGTTATTGTTGAAGATCCAGCAAGGAGGCAGAAAAATGTTACCCTTCTGTGGAAGGTGAGAACACTTCAGTTTTGGTCTTTTGCTTTGAAAGATGCATGACCCAAAAGCATTGGTAGAATTACAAAACTGATAAGCACTGAGAGGCAAACTGAGGTGGTCACTGCAGATGAGACTTGGTATGCAGTGTGCTTGCAGGCTTTGGCTGCCAAGTTCTGCTAACCAAGTTCTCTGAGCCGGATGTGCCACTGAGTCCTAGACAGCTGCCTGTTCAAACACCTCAGCAATGGCATGTAAACTGGGCAAAGCTGTGTTAAAAGGTTAACGCAGGATAGAGGGGAAAAAGTACATCAGTGACTGGCCACTCCTGTTTGTCTGTGCAGCGATGTTAGGTGTGCAAACAGTCATCTTTTTTTTTTCAGTCCTGGAAAATGCTAACATTAAATTGTGACCTGTTATAGGAGTCTGAAAGTTTTTTATTTCCTTGTATTCCCCGCCCCTTCAGTGGAAAGATAGCAAGTAAGGGTGCCAGGTTTCAGATAGAAAAGTCTTTAAATGGACTACAGAGTCTTTGCTAAAATAGATGGTCTATAAAATATCTTTCTTGGGTCGTTTTCTTAAAAATCTTCAAAACCAACACCTTTTGCCCAAATAATGTTTCCTTTTGAAATCAAAGACTGGGAAACTAATTAATGCCAATGTTTGTTGCAGCCACTGATGAAGAATCACTCACTGTGCAGTGTGAGCCGATACATTATAAAGCATCAGACGTCAGAAAACACCACGTGGTCAGAATATGTCGATAAAGGCACTACCTGGTTATTTCCATGGACTGAACGCACACATACCATTACTGTTTTAGCCATGAATTCAATTGGAGTTTCTTCAAGGAATTTTAATTTAACTCTATCACAGCAATTGAGCACAGGTAAGAACACCAGTTAGTTACCATTTTGCGATGTGGAATATGTTAGGAATCCTTGTGGTGCTTTTGGGCAAAGCTTTCTTTGAAATAAAAATCCCTTTGTTAAAAGAAAAAACATGATATGTTCATCTGTATTACGGGAATCAGATTCTGTATCTCACCAGCAGAGCTATTTGAAAAATGAAATTTCTGTCACATGAAAATTGTAATGAACTTTAGATTGGGGAAAAAAGTTGTCCTTGACAGTTGTCCTTCACTGACAGAATCTAAAGTAATTGATCAAATAAAAATGAAATCATACTGTAAAACTGATCTTCCATCTTCTTTGTCCTGGGAACACCCAGCATTCCTGCTAGGGAATGTTTTGTTGTTTCCAAAATGAAATGTGGTCTAATTTCTCCGGCTGCTCACCTGACAGGGTGCCAGAGTGCATAGTTCTCAGAGGTTTGGCTTTTCTCCCTGGGCAGCCTTTTCATCGGTTCAGCTGCATTCTGCTTTATTAATAAAATAAAGGCTATCGGTTCTGACAATTTCAACTGTGTAACATTCATATGCAAATGTATAATGTGGGAAACGTTACTGCAGTCTATTCATAGAACTTTACTGCTGCAATGCAATTTTAGAAGCATTTTTATAGGTAAAATTCTTTCTGATACTGTGCATAAGGATGTTCTGGAAAGCCTGTACTTGGTAGCAGATGAAAGGGGAAGCATTTGTGTGCCTGGATTGTGATCTGGGTATGTTACTTAGAGAGATTTATTGGGATTTAGCTTACAGGCTCCCAGTGTGTGTTTTACCAGCTAAATGTTGACAGTCCATTTGTTGATAATTTCTTAGCTAAGGACTGATAATTAAGGAGGTGCATGTAAGAACCAGGCTATTTGTTTAATGTTTGTTAAGAAACTTGTTCTATTTAGTGTTCGGGATTCGTTGGTTTAAGCCAGTGAAGCGTGGTTTACAGAGAATTAAGTTTGTTTATGTGAACTAAGGATCAAGCTTTATTGTATAAAGATAAAAACAAACAAACAGAAACACTAAACAAACAAAAAACTAAAGTAGTAAATAATGAAGCTCCAAAACTGTCATACATTTTACCATATACACCTCTCCTACTAAGCCAGGTCTCATCTCACCTCTGTCAGAGTTCACGTAATTCACTCTTTTTTGTCCTTGTTTTGTCAGTGAATGCAGTGCAGTCACTCATCGCTTACCCAGTGAACAGCACCTGTGTGATTTTGACTTGGACGCTTTCACCTCACACGTACGTGATAACATCTTTTGTTATTGAATGGAAAAACCTTAACAAAGAAGAGGAGATGAAATGGGTGCGAGTTCCTCCGAATACTAGCAAGTATTATATTTATGGTGAGTGTGTACTTGAAAATGTAATGCGTTATGTTGTTATTGAATAGAAGAATGTAGCATTTTTCTGAGCTCTCAAATTCCTTCCCCCATCTCCGTTTCTGATTTATATTTTTTATGGTAAGGAACTGTAGAACAATTTTTAATTATCATTAGTGGACTGACTGTAAAGGACTGACTGTTGCATTCATAATCCAGGTTGACAAAGAATGAAGCTCAGGTGTGTGTTCATTTTTTGGCAATACGATAAAATTAGTTCTGGAATACTGACCATACCAGCTAATTATGTAAGTTAATATGTGTTAATTCCATCTGCATTTTTGGCTTTAATCTTAGAAAATTGTATAATAGTTGCATAAAGGTGTTAATTCCATGGGAAAAAAATAATGCTAGATTATGCAGTAAAGATTATTAGTTTTAATCTTTTGATATTAAAGTGCGTATCTATAAAAGATGGCTTTTGTTGTGCCCCCTCAGGGCTGGTCTGAACTCTGATATGTGACCAGAGCCTCTCTGGAGGTCATTGTTTAATAGCAGGATACTAGTTTTGCTTCAAAAGGCTGACTTCTTCTTTCCAGATCACTTTATTCTAATTGAGAAGTACCACTTCAGCCTGTACCCCGTGTTTGCTGGAGGAGTTGGCAAATCCAGAGCGACAGATCGATTTACCAAAGGTGACTTACAGCATCTTTCTCCGTGTTGTTTATGAATAGGAGCTTGATTGTAAAAGTTAAATTTAAATGGAAGAAGTCTGTAGCTTATCAGAAGAAACTCAGTAATAGGGTAATTTTAATACATCTATAAAGTGCTCAAGATTTCAGTTGCTTTAATTTGAAAACTGTGTGAAGTTAATTGAGTGAGGGAGGCAACTGAATTCCCACCAACCTGGCTTAATAGCTGAGATCCTAGGTCTCTGTGATTCTTCATTCTCCAATTATGGGCTATTCTCTTATGTGCTCTGATTTCATTTCCCAATAACGAGGGAGCACTGGGGACCTTCCCTAGAGATGGAGAAGTCACCTCAGTATTTAAAATAATTCCTTCCCTTTTGTCTGTTTGTTCTCAAGGTAAAAGTTCATTGATCTGCAATAAAACTTGATAAAGCCTTTTATGGGGGGAGGAGGGAGAGGGGGACGGGGGACGTAAGCTGTTGCTTCTACTGTTTATATAAGTGTTTGTTATTTTCCATTTACAAACTTTTCAGACAAATTATTTTTCCTGCATTATCTGCATCCCTTTTAGTTCCAGATGGATATGAAAATCAGAATAATGCTAGCCTCTATATGGTTCTGCCAATAGTTGTTTCAACCTTGGTTTTGTTGCTTGGAGCATTGCTGATTTCACACCAAAGGTAAGTTCATTTTTATATAAAAGTCACGGAAGGCCTTTAGAAGGTGATGCAGCTTAGCTGTATGTCTGCTGAACTGGTGGCCAGTGTCTTTTTTGGGGGAAAGCCAGGAATTATTTTTATCGTTTGTACTTTTGAGGTGTACTGAAAGGCAGTGGACTCCGGAATATAGCACCAAGAATTTAAATGTCTCCAGTGCACATGCTTGTTACCTTGTAAAAGTCAGACCTTTCAGGGCTGGTGTCCTCGAAGTAAGGTGATGATCAGTGCTGTTCTTTTTCACTGGGAAATAGCACTTCAGCCTGTACCACACACTGCTTACTTTTGCAGTGTTTTGTGGACAAGCTAATGAGTGTCAAATGCTTTGAAGCACTGTGTGTCCCAGATTTAATTGTCATCGCAAATAAAGCCAATTTAAAAAAAAAATATATCCATCTGAGTTTTGTGGAATGTGGGTTGGGGTCTTACTCAGCAAAGACTGCCTGTACATTTTATGACTTACAAAACTGCCATATGGTGTCTCACTTTGATATTTTGCTATTGAATTTTGACCATCTAGAATATGTGAAATGATTGTTTCATTGTCATAGCATTCTAGATAAATAAAATTGCACATATTCCTTTTCTGACATAGCAAAAATGCATTATGTATGAGAACAGTACCAACTCCAGAATTTACCTAATATTTCAGAATGAAGAAACTGTTTTGGGAAGATGTTCCAAACCCCAAGAATTGCTCCTGGGCACAAGGAGTTAATTTTCAGAAGGTATGCATTTCCCTGGTGATTCTTCTTCCCCCACCCTGTGGGTCAGGCTGCTCTCAGCTCACTACTGAACTCTGAGTATTGGATAGACCAAAACCTACCTGAATTACTTAAATGAAGGTACCTGGAGCCTCTGAAGTTAGTAATGTTAGTATACCTTTCAGTTCTAGAAATATGCGAGGACCAGAGACCAGTATCAATCTTGAATGCGGGGTGTTTAAATTTCAGGGCTATTAGCAAATCAGTCATGGAATCAGAGTGTGCCCCATAGGCGTAATGCTCATTTATCTCAGTGAGTGCCACATTTGCATCAATGGCCATATTTTTTTTTTTTCTGGGGCAAACCCCCTCTTCATTCAGCACATGAATCGAGCTGTGATGTGATGAGCCGTGGCAGGTAAGAGCCGTTACATGGACTTAGCCAGCTTGCTAAGTTTCTCACAGTCTTACAGGTTGACAGTGGGTAATTGCTGAAACAATCTAAATACAAGCCTATTACTACTAAAAGAAAGAGCACTTATGGCAGAAGATTTTTTTTTCAGGTTTTAATTTGCATTCCCAGTGAAGGTTTCTTTTCTCATCTTTTATTTTATTTCATTTCATTTAAACAGAGAATGGACATTCTTTGAAGTCTAATCATGATCACTGCCTGCAGAACCACTGGGCCAGCTCCCAGGCTTCCTATACAGAATTGTTAGAAGATTTTTCTATTTATATTCAGAAGACAGGAAACAGATACAATACAATGCTGATTTGCTTAAATATAATCAATCCTGGAAGTAGCTCTGTCAAAAATCTAAAATACCCTTGCAAAAATTAGGAGTAAGTGCCATGTTACAGATCAAAAGATTGTTTGTCACTTGCGTAGGCAGAAACACTTTAGATTTGGTGTTTTTAGTGCCCTGCTGACTAAGGCTGTGACTAGCAACAGGCTTGATGCTTTCAAGCCCTGGCCTTCAAAACGAGTTGAAAGAGCCCAGCCTTTCCCAGGATGCAGCTGTGGAAGCAGAGATATCAGACAGGTTTGGGATTTATCCAGTTGAAAGCAGGATCTGTCTAGCAACTGGCTTCACGTTAAGGTGTTTTTGTTGTTGTTGATTTAATTTTTCTAATCAAATATTTGTTTGTTCTAGTTGAGAGCTAGCTTGGGAGTTTCCACTGACTGCAGGCACATCAAGGTGATCGGATCTTGTATTTGCACAAGTACAGGGCTCTCCCATTAAGGTCTTCGGAAATTATATATGTATCTGAGTGCAGCAGCAACTCAGAGAATGCAGAAACTGTGCGTTGTGCCTTGCTTGATTTTTCCTGGGAATACCAGTATGCATGCTGTTTATATGGCTTCATTCATTATTGTTTAAACATTTAAATGTCAGTGCAGCTGCCTGAGTAATCTCTGACGTTACATCTGTGTTGGGGAAGATGCAGTCATGGTCTGAGGATGCCTGGGTGTTCTTCAGCCTTGCAGCAGCAGTCACAGTGGCTGGTGGTAGCAGAGCCTGTGCCTCTTGGTTTGGTCTAGAAAGCAAAGTGTGCTGTCCTCGTGCAGTTTGTTAAATCCCAGGCCTGGCTGACGTGTCTGCTTCCATGGCTGCATCCTGAGAGGGGATCGGCTCTTTGAACAAAGAGCTGTGAGCTGCAGGAGTCTCAGTTGCACCAGCGCACCTGTATTTGTCTGTTTCATCTTTTCATCTGTAGCGACAGAAGCTCGAGACAATCCCTATTATTCCAGATTGCAAAGGTGTATGGAATTTGCACGGTGGATTTGACACATTGGAAATGATTCTCCTCACCAACTGCTAGAGCTGAAATAAGTGTATCAAAGTTGATGATGTTTTTAACTAGGAGGGGAATGTCATGCCCACGCTGACACCCTGGTGATACTGCTCCGTATTCATATGCCTTGTTCCATAATTAATTGGAAAGAAACGATGCATGCAAGTATGAAAGAAATTGAAGTTTGACATGATTTTTGACAGCTTGTTAGAAAAAAAAAAAAAAAAAAGCATGCCTCTTTGGTATGTTGAACTAATCTTACTGGAAAGTATTGCTTAATGTTAATTGCACTAAAGGGATGGTGCCTGTCCCCAGATGAGCATGATCACCTCTCACTAGTTTCCTGATGTCCGAGGCTGAAACACGTTCCTCAAAGCAGTGTGTTAAGGGTCAAATTCTGTGTTTGTATGTATGCATGCAATTTCTACTAGCAAAAGCAGTGCCCAGGACTGGTGTGGTATTTTTCCCTCCCTGTAATAACCATTGATTACACAAACAGCCTGCATACCGCTACTGGAAAGTTCTGATGTCTTTCTGAAGGCATCTGCTGCGGAACACGTTTTGTCTTGGTCTGTAGCCATACTAAATCCTGCAGGCAACATCTGAGCATTACTTTGTATGCTCAATGCAGCATGCTGGTGTATGGTGCTCCTCAACTGCATTTATAGAGTATTCCTTTATCGGGATTGTGTTGCTTACGGTAGTAAGAGATTAAAATTACAATTTAAAACAGGCAAATCTTGCATCTAGATTCAGTCTTGTGAGCCTTTACAGAATGTCAGAACCATGAAAAGTTCTGTTACTTGCTTAGTAAGATAAATGAAGTTTTAGTGCCTACTGTTGTAGATCACTAAAGTACAAATACGCGTGCTTTCCAAGAAAATTCATGTAAATCCTTCAAAGAACGATGCGTATCTAAATTACCCTACTAAGTCCACAGGGTTACTTGCAGCATGTGAAGCTAAAAGCCTGTACAGTCACAATCTGGTCTTGATGGAATTAGGCCAACAGCATATTTTGCTGTATCTGTGTTTAGCAACTAGAGTGCAAAATATTTTCGACTTGAACCTGTCTCAGGCATGATAACTGGCATACAGAGATAGTCTGCTGTGTGTGAGAGCTCCTTACAAGGCTGTGACAAATGCAAAGTAAAACCTAGACTGACCAGGAGGGCAAAACACAACATTGCTTGAAATTCCTTCTTTGTTCAGATCCTGTTTCATCTGGTCAGCAGAGTTTGGGAACTGGTGACCTGGGACTGTGATTTTCATCCTGTGTTTTACAGAACTGCTCTGGCTGTTGTTGAACACGGTTTGTGCCCAGGTTATACCATACGCGTGTATACTGTGGAAATCCATCCCTGTTCACCCAGCTTACTCTGTAATTCTTGATGTGCTCTGGTTTTGTTTTCTCAGGATGTTGGATTGTACATTGTATTTGATCTGACATCTGAGCTGGCAGATGGAGGCTTTTGCCAAACAGCTTACCTGTCTTGGAACGTGATGTATTTAATCTCTGCAGGCAATACTATCGACGTGCTTTCTGTGGTGCCTGTATGCATTTATAAGAACAGCTACTGGAGGTGGGGGTGAAGAGGGAAGCAGGTTTTGGAAGGAAATAAACCATCCCTGCTCAGGACAGACCAGCTGCTGGTGGCAGGAGGGCTGTGTGGTGGTCAGGTTGTTCCAAAACTACCAGCTGGCCTCTGTCTCCTGTTGGAAAATGCCACTGGGGCAGTGTCCCCTGCCCGGACCACTTGTCTGCTGGACACAGCAGTGCCTGTGCGAGTCCCCAGCAAGCTGGTGAGGGAGCAGGGAGCTGCCAGTGGGCAATGTAAGCTAGGGTTAGTACAGCTTGATTCACACAGCATTGTAGCACCCCACAGCTCCTTTCAATAGCTGGCCAGTTTTCTGTGTGCTTCCTGACACAATCTGAAGCCTGGGAGATGCCAATTTGGGAAGGTGATGGGCTTGTGTGGGCAAGGACCAGAGCTGGTGGAAACCTGCTCACAGGCTTTGCCACACGAGGGCATTGTCACTGCTGGGAGCTAGGCTGGAGCAGCAGCCCGAGCCGTGGAAGTTAGTACTCTTCTATAATTGTATAGCAGCCTAAGTATTTTGACACGTTCCTGGTTGTTTTGGCAGCTTTCCTGCTGTAAAATATGGTTTGCTAATATACACAAAATCTGTTTTTATCTATTTGTTTTGTCTTGAATTCCTTAGGAAATATATGGTTTTTCAAGTGACTTTTCCTTTGTAGCTAGGAGTTCTGTTCAGTTCACGCTGTTGTGTATTTTACATGTATATACATTAGGTAGTACTAAGGCACACATTTCTCCAAAATAAACGCGTTTCTCTTCGTGCAGTTCAGACGCAGAGCTGTTACTTAGATGGGAATGCTCTAAAAACGCTACAGAAAGACTGAATTTGACCCCAAATAATATAATCCTAGCAGAAAAAGTTACTTTAGTTGGCATGTGTATGACTTAAGACCATTTGTTTATACAGCCTCAATAAAAAGCCAAGAAAATCTAAGGGTATAAGATCTTTGTCTTGCAAAGCACTCGTGTGTTTTTAACAGTATGTGCATGTTTATTAATGTCAAAACATTTGGGACCACTCGGCTGCTTGTATTTCAGCTTAAACCACACGCTGTCTTGGCTGGAGGACTGGGTGCTTCACCGCACGCTTGCTTTGCAGCACTTGCCACATGAAGAGGTTCAGGCTTTGTCTTTCCCCTCAGTCTTCACCAAGACACAAACACAAAGAAAAGAGGAAATGTGTTTTAGGGGATTTTCAATATGTTCTTACTAAAACTATGGAGGTTTTGTCTGTGATTCTTAAGATCAGTAACTTCGTACTGAACTAAAGCTATTAAATAACAGATGAACATTAAAATATATTTTTTCTTCTAGCCTGAAACTTTTGAGCACCTTTTTATCAAGCACCCCGAAGCAATGTCATTTGAGCCTCTTCTTCTGGAGCCAGAAATAGTGCTGGAAGACATCAGTGTTACCAAAGTGTTGAAACAAGAGGATACACAAGATTTTTTAGTCATTAATTCCATGTTTACAAAAATTCAAGACTCTGAGCACGACTCTGCTTGTTCTAGCAGCCATTTCACTAGCAGCAGCTTCTCTGAGAGCTTTCACAATGACCAAATCGCTGGAGAAATCACAAGGCAGTCCGACATAAAATACGCTACTATTATCAGCAACTCCAGATCCGGTGGGCTTTATGAAGAGAAGAAGAATCTCAGAAGTTGCTTTGAGAGGTGCTTCTTAGCCGAAGATTCCTCAGTTGCAGGTGCTTTCTCAAGCAGCTCTTGGGAGGTGGGAAACCAGGCTTTCCTCCTGCTGCCTGATCAGCCTGGCAGTCGGCCCAGCAAGACTCTTTCCCTTTCCCTGATTTCTTCAGAGGGGTTTTCAGAGCCTTCAGATCAGGATGACACCTTCCCAGATGGAGGCAGTCCTGAGCGAAGCCTCTGTTACCTGGGGATAGCATCACTTGAAAAAAGAGAGAGTGACATTTTTTTAACGGAGAGTTCCGGAGTGATGTGTCAGATCCACACAGCTGATCTGCTCAGAGACGTGGGGTTCCTTCGGAACACGCCTCCTAGCTTAAACACATTTATCCAAAGTAGCTTTAACTACAAAGCCATTGTGCCCTACATGCCTCAGTTCCAGATGCCTGCCGCCAAGGTGCAAGACGCCACAGAGAACAGCTCTTAAGTCATCACGCCATAACTCGGTACTCGTCGTGGCTTTTTAGGTGTTGATATGTTCTCCCGTTTTTCCCTCTCCTGACTTATTTCAGGAGCTCTCCTGGTTGGAAGTTGTGTGACTAATCCTGCATTTGAGTCCCAGGATTTCAGCAGGAAGAAAATTCTGTTTCTTGACTTAAGTTTCACACGAGGGGCCTTCCTTTATATATTTGATATATAAATATATGTAATTAGCCACTGGTGCCAAATAGTTTCCTCCTGTTAGGTGCACATCCGAGCACCCCGGTGCAGAGCTGCCCTTGCAATTGGGCTTTGTGCCACGGGATTTCAGGTGAGGACTGGCTGTGACCCAAACACAGTTCTCAGCCCCCAGGCTCCGTGCTGTGGGCTGTGGGCAGCTTTGGCAGCCCTCGGGAGCTGTACCTGGAGCTGCTCCCGTGGCTCCTGTGCGGGCAGCGCACAGCAGCCCTGGCCGGGTGGCCTCAGCGTGTGGCAGGAGCCTTCCTCCAGCTGGGAGAGGCAGAGGAGGTGGGGGTGGAGATCCCCAAACACTGTTCAGTGGTTGGGAATTGCCATTGTTCGTGCCCCGAATAAACACAGCTCTGGTTCATCAAAAAAAAAAAAGAAATTTAACATGTTGGCCAACAGCACTGAAAGAGCTTGCTCTAGGTTTTTTTGGGGAGTCCAAGGGCGAGACAAAGGAGTGGCCTAAAGCATAGCATTAAAGGGCATATTGAAACAGAAGGTGCCCACATTTTGTCTGGGGGGAGAAACTCGGATGTGTACAAACTCGGGTGCTGTACAAATACCAGTGGCTTTGTTTGTTTTTCTCCAAAATCCCGATGTTTTGATTGCTTTGCTGGCACCTGCATTTAATTGAGCCTGTGAGTACGCAGATGGTCCACAAGAAAAAGCAGTGGGAATCCTGCCCTTCAGTGGCTGAAAGGGAGGCCGTGACCAGCGGAGGCAAACTTGGGGCTGTTTTTACGTTGTCTCTTTTTCAGTAAGATGAAAATGTTCAGCAGCAGCATCAAAGAGCTGTAAGAAGAGCTGTGAGGGCAGAGGCTGAGGGCTGAGCAGTGCCTCAGCACATCAAAGATACCCTGAAGGAGTGACTGTTCAGCAAGGAAGGGCTTTTGGTGCTGCAAGAAGAGGAGCAGAGTCAAAATTCTTGGTGCTGCACAACCACAGGGTGTTACCTGGCTAACCCGTGTGCTTGGAAGTAAAGCACCCATGTTTTTGCTGACCATGAGGTTCTAGTACAAACGATATTGTGGTAAAACTAACATCTCTTCCAAACTTATTCTGTAAGAACCACAGTAAAAAAGGCAGTAATTTGATCCAAGAATCCTGTTTTTTTGATCTGCAGTGAGCTAGCCTGGCTACACGGACATGAAGTCAGTTCAGGAGCCGTGCTCCACTCAGCTTTGGCTAGGAGGAAAATCAGATCTTGCATCCCAGCTGTGTTTGTAGGTAAACAAAACCACACACTTGGAAGCCAAATATATTTTTTCTATCTCATAGCTAATAAATATTTTTGTATACGTACTTTTTCAAAGAGCTATTTTGAAAAGCTAAGAAAGATGAAAACACTGTGTATTCCAGAGCTAAATTGCTGTAAAACTTACTTGGGGAATTAAAAACAAAAGGGCAAAATTCAGCAACAGTAGTAAACAGTAGAAGTGTGGAGATCTTTTAATGTATTAGTGATAAGAAATCCGATGGGGCAAAAGGGACCAAAGCAAGTTATATAGTTACACTTTAAATTTAAGATAAGGTTTAAAAACAACAACAAAAAACCCACAACTTGTTCTCAAACAAGCTGCTAGCCTGGTTCTCGCTGGGTGTCTGTTTCTGAATGCTGATATGACACAGGCCTGATGTGATTGTTCAGAAAAAGGGGGTGTGCGGGGAGGTGGCTGACCAAAACTTGTCACTCGGAAGAGCACCTGGAGCTGCAGGGATGAGCCCAGAGTCTTGAAAGGGCTCCTGTGGGGCTGGGCAGCCTTGTCGCAGGTCCCGTACCTGCTGCTGCTCTGCTGGAGTGAGCCGTGCTTCTGCAGCCAGCAGCAGGAGAATGCTAAACCAGAGCTCCTCTGAATTAAAACCCACTTCGACCGCTGTGTGGATGTGATACAGCACAGCCTGCGGGGCCCGGGAGCTGCCCACCAAAGCCAACATCCCCCGGGCACACGAAGCTGCAGCCAGGCACCTCCACAGGGACCCCTCATGCGCTCCTTCAGAATCGTCCATCAACCTCCTGCAGCTCCATAAACTGGGATAATAAACACATGGTACATCACGGAGCGTGGGTTCCTTCAGTTATTGTGTCCTGCAAAGTTGTCTGGTTGCATCTGAAGATCTTTCTTGGGAAATGAAAAACCAACACTGATTTTATCACTGAGTGCTCAGGGTGAGTCCTCATCCAGTAACTGCTGGGACAGGAGCACCCGTAGGCATGGGAGTGATCCAAAGAGCGAGTCCAGGAGGGTTTTCCTGGGCTGCAGTACATGGGAAAAGGCAGGAGTTAAATCCTGCCCCCTCCATGCAGGGCTCTGATGTGGCTCAGAGCTATCAAACAGGGATTTGATCGCGCTCTTCACCTTTCTTCACTTCTGTATGAGGCCCAAGCCTGCGTGCCCTGCATCCCCCAGCTCTGCCCGTGGGCAGCTACAGCTACAGCTGCCTTTTCTCAGCGTGATTTTTCCCCCTGTTTTAGGTCAATTTACTCATTACCAAAGCTGAGTGCCTTCTGTGCCACATCAGGTAACGTTTTATTCCATGTTTACAGCAGTCTACTTTTTCCACAGGGCAGCCATGCCCTTGCTTTATGCAGGAGCAAATCTCGTTTGCTTATTCCTGGGGGTGACAGAGATGGGCAGGTGTCAGAGCACGGCTGTTTCCTAATTTCAGAGGGCTGTTCCCATGGCAGACAGCCCTCCTGCTTTCCCTCAGCGGCTTTGAGCCAGGCCCCTGGTCTGCGAACTGGGGCTGGATCTTGGCTGTTGCCTCCCTGCAGCACGGCGAGGGAAGGGAGATGCCACAGAAACGCGTTTCGGACATCCCGGGCGCACGGCACCACCACGCACCCAGGCCTTGGCTGCACATTTCTGCTCTAGTAGTGAACTCGTTAATGCTTTCCTACAAACACACCTATGCCTCGGCTACAAATAACTCCGTGTTATCCCCCTCTTCTACCAGTGCAAGTAAATCGGTCATTTTGCAGACATTTTTCTTTTACATGTTTTGCCATGGCTCTGTGGCAAGGAAAGGCCTTTTCGGTTTAAACAGGAAAAGCAAATAGGAGGATCCATGTGCAGCTTCAGACGTACACATTAAGCCCTAATATTAACCTCCTGCAAATTAATTTTGAAGAGCATTCAAGAGTCTAGCTCATTTATCTAAGAAAATTAATGTTTTGCTATTTCTTTTACAGGTCATTTGCAGCCAAAGTTAACTGCCCGTTTTTTTTTTTTAGCACGATTGATGTGTGAAGCAGCAAGAAATTGTTTTCCCCATTTTGTACATTTGTTAGTCCGTCTTTGAGTCATTGACCTGTCTAATCAGCCTTGGATTTGAAAGTCTGCAGTGAAATGGGTTCTGCGTTTTGCTTTTCCTCTTGCATAAACTGGGAACTAATTTCTTTTCCAAATGTGGCGTTCACTTCTGGAACATTTGCAGTAATCATTTCCCACTGGTGAGAATATCACTCGAAACACCACCTTCCAACAGCGTCAGAAGAATTTTGTAATTATTTTTGTGAATAAAATGTTGTAGATGTTAACGTTGAGTTTGTCTGTCTGAGTTTCCAGAGGCTTTGTGTGTGAGGGGTGGTAATGCTCCTGCTGGTGGGTTCCCATGGGTGAGCCTGGTCTCCGAGCTGTTATTTAAAAGGGGAAAATCTTCAGAGTTTCTTTTTTTGCAGTTTGCCATGACCAGACCTTGGAGATGACAGAGCTGCTGTATGGTACGGGATGATTTTGTCAGGAGGCTCCCAGATGGAGGTGCCACCAGCCTGCAGCTGGTCCCGGGCAGGGACAAGGCTCACGCCTGGCTGGGGATGGCTTCATCCTGAACACGAATCTTTGGTGAGGGAGCTGGAATATCCCTGTGCTCTCTGCTGCTCCCATCCTCAGTCATTTGTCACCTGGAGTTGGGTGAAAGGACCAAATCCTTCCCTCTGCATCCGCTGCTGCTGGGCTCTGCCAGCACGGGGCTCTGCCCTGGAGCCCTGCTCTGACCTGGGCAGATGGATGGGGCTGGGGAGATGGGGCAGGAGGACACAGGACAGAGCCTTTTATGCGTTTATCTGTGCAAAGAAAGCAGGGAGGTGCTGGGGGAGGACTGGAGCACCTGGCCAGGCCCCAGCTGCCCGCAGCACCCCAGCAGCGCTCCGCTAGGCCTCGGCGCGGGGAGGCCATGGTGGAGGGCCCGAGAGGCTGAGAGCGAACAAAATATCCCTGCCCTGGAGGAACCTGTTATCTAAGAGCATTATCTGGTGGTGAATCACAGCTGCTGGTTATAAAAGCATTCCCTTAATGATTCTGAGCAGTTCTCTGAGGAGGAAAGGGGAGCCTGGGCCCGGGAGCAGCGCAGGCTGGCAGCGGGGTGGCACGGAGCAGGGGTGCTGCGAGAGCCCTCCCTGCCCCTCGCAGGCACAGGAGGCATTCCCCGGGCTCCCCAAAGCTTCAGAGAAACCTTCCTGCGGGTCTTAGTTTTAAAAATACAGAGCTGAACAGTATATGCTGCAAATAGTTACCCAGACTGGGCTTTTGCTGAGGATATTCCACCTCCTGTTTCCTACTGCAGAACACCTAATGGAAATGCAGATTTCTACTGCGTGTCCCATTCCTCCATCCTTCCTTCTGCTGGGAAAGCAACAGGAGGTAATTTTGTCCAGGCTGGAATGAAATCTGAAGGCCCTGATATGATAAAGCACTGAGTTCCCTGCTTGACCCGGTGCCCGCTTGGTTTTGGCAGGTGTCATTCTGTTCAGTAATTATCCTAAATAAAAAAAAAAGGGAATTGTCTGTGTGAGACTCTAATTAATTACGACCCATCAGGAGCTTCTTATGCAAGAGCTGTCATCAGCAAAGCAGGGAGAGGCACCGAGAAACTCTCACTAGGAAATCTGAAAATGAGCCTCGATGGCTTATGAAAGAATGCGGTGCCCCGCTGCTGGGGAATGAATGGAAAAGCAAACGGTGGAGGGAGGCAGAGGAAGGGAGATCCTGGGGGGCTTTTAAGGCTGATGAGAAGCCCGGCCAGCGAGGTCTCTGGGCTGTGCTGAGGCTGTCTGTGGTCGAGGTCCCAGCAGCGCACACCCCTGCTTGTACTGCAGCCATAAACAGAGCGCCCTGTCTGGCCTTTCACTACCCGCAATCCATGGTGCTTCTTTGCACAGTCACGGACGGGTCATTTCCGAATGCAAACTGAGCTCATTTCACTTGAAAAGCGTTTTTTAAAACATCCATTGATGTCTTTAGACCCGAGCAGAGCACTAAGGGCAGGTACCAAACACAAAACTTTCTGGTGCTGCTTTTACACAGCTGCCTCTCAGCAGGGAAACTCATTTCAATATTGAAACCAGCGGCTTGTCAGCGACGTCGCTTCGTGAAGAAGAATGGATGTGATGGGGGAGCCAAGGAACAGACTCGCTGTTAGTTCTCCCAAATCAGAGCTGGCAAGGCAGTGCTGGGAGCCGCACGCATAGGTGGGCAGGAGACATGGCACAGGCTGGGGCTTGTGGTGGAAAGACACACGCCGTGACTTACTTCGAGCTTCAAATGATGATTGAAGATCTGGGCCAGAAGAGCCTGGCAATGAAATAATTATTTAGTTTTCAGCCCAGCTAATGTCAGGAGCGAGGTGCAGAGACCTGAGGCTGTTTTGCCAGAACAGCTTGCCACCCCTCTGCCCCCAGCCACGCGGTGATGAAAACCCCTTTCCTACAGCAAAAGGTCCCAGGCACAGATTTATGGCTGCAGAGAGATTGTTTCCTACAGCTGTATCTGAGGGATGTGTGCTGAGTTTGGTTTTGTTTTCACTTCACAGGATTTTGGAATGCACCCTGAACATGTATGCCACATTTTATTTGCTGCTCGTCTCATAAACATGGGTCCCTTTTGCACTTTTTTTCTGATCAGTTAGATCTGAAAAGAGATGGTGAATTAGGAGCCCTGTCCTTATCGCTCCGCGATGACTAACATCCAATTTCCTGTCTGGGGTTTCAATAGATTGCTCTCTAAACCGCATGGAGCTATCTAGCTGCAGCAGCCACTCCTACGTTGTTGCATTAGCAAGGGTAAAACTGCACGAGCGTTTGCAGAGATCTAAATTCAGCACATCTGAAGCTCTATTTCAAGGTGAGCGCTGCTTCGTGGCCCCCTCGCAGTGCTGTCCAGAGCTATTAAGTGGTGATGGGGCCCAGAAACACAGCCAGGCTGGGGTCAGGGGCTGAGGCAAATGGGAAGAGCCCACTGCTAGTGAGAAACGAGCTCTTTAAAGCTTGCCTAGCTGTAACGAGCAAAGGGAGGAGAAATTCTGCTTCGGCGATGATGCTGACAGCATTGGGAAGAGCAGATTCCTGCCACGCACTTTTCCAGCTGCCCACACACCCCGCACATCCATCGCTGAAGCCTCCACCCTGCTGGTGCCATCCCCATCAGACACCAGCCAGCTGCCCGCGTGCTCGGCGCTCCTCTTGGTGACTGCTGAATCCATGGGAAAGCGCAGGGGGCTTCAGAGAGCAAATACTGCTGCTGCCGTCACGTGCGGGAGCAAAACAAACCCTCAGCGCTGAGCGTAACACGCGCCACCCAGCTCACGGCCTCGGCCGGCACGGCAGCCCCTACCTGCTGCTGAGCTGCCAGGGGTAGGGTTTGTGCTCCTTGCTCTGAGAGCTGATGTTTAATTGGTCTTGTTTTCATCCACCTCGTTTGTGTTGGATCAGTTATCATCAGGCTAAATCAGAGAAGGTTTTGGTTTTCTTTTTTAATTTGCTCTGTTTTTTTGTAGTGCAGTGCATGAAGGATGGAGGGACTTTTCTTGCCAATGGGGGATCTTTTGTCACTAAAAAAAAAATAATAAAAAAATCACAGGATTGGGGTCTAAAGTCTAAATGGGTAGTGCATGGGTTTATTTTTAGAGAGCTGACGTTAGTTACCTGTCTAGTAAATTATTTTGCAAACCTGTTGCTGTGAGTGCAGCTGTACCCTGGCTGAATTAGGTGCACTTTTTGGAGGTGCTTTTCTAAATCTTAGCAGTAAAAAAATGAGATGCAGACAAGAAAGCCAGATAAGACCTTATCTTTGTAACCCTCCTGACAGGCAGGAAAATCACTTTGCTGGGCGTTTATCAGATTGAAGCTGCAGGTCGTGTGTCTGCCTGCCCCAGCACGGGGTCCCAGGCAGAGCAGGTGCAGGGCAGGTAACAGCAAAAAGCTGCGACTGGCTCGGACCCTGTTTATGGCATTTAAAGGCCCAGAAGAGGAAAAAACAATTTCTAGGGAGATCATCAATATGTCAGCAGCCAAGAGAGTGACTGGAGAGAGGGCTCAGCAGCACGGGAGCGGTGGCAGCCAGCACAAAGGGCCGCGTGCATCCTGCTGCTGGATTTATCTCTTTCAGCAAAAACACTGCAAAATTTGCTACAAATCGAATTGTGGCCCTTAACGGGCAACTTGGAGCCACCTGTTCTTCAGGGCTGATGAAAACACAATGAGAGCTGGAGGTGTGACATGGTGGGGACCTCTCCTCTGGACACCTCATGGACTTGTGTGATGAAAGGCATCGCCGGCCCGGTCACAGACATCACTCTAGGCTCACGCTTGCAGAGCAAGACCTGGAAAAGGAAGCCAAAGCCTGCAGAAGAGGTGTTGTTTTCAGTACCCGTGGCAGTGAGAGAGATGGGCTGATATTGCTGCATGTGCCTCGTGCAGCTGATAGAGCGACAGTGATGTGGCTGCTGTCATCAGGAGCAAAGAAAGAGCTCTGCAAGGTGAGGGAAGGTGTAAATCCCTTCCTGGCAATAAGTCCACGCAAGAAATGATCCAAGACCACTAATTCCATTGCAGGGCAGTGAGACAACCTGGCAGGGTGCTGAGGGCACTCTCAGGTCTTTATGGCCCCTGCCCAAGCCTTCTCTGCAGCCCCATCGCCCTGCTGGTCCCACCCGAGCACGGCTGACCTCGGGATAGAGGCTTGGGAATGTGCCTGGAGGAACGGCAAGGGTGATAGTGGCCTCAGTAAAACAGATCAGGCCTAAATCTGATAAAATGTGATAGCCAATTTATTTATTTATTTACTTGAGATCCCTCCAAGTGCTTTCTCCTAGGCAGCCGTAAGGAAACGGCACGCAGAACAGATGATCTGGATGAATACATACCCAGTTTGGGTGGGTGATTTTGCAAATACCGTTCCAGAAAAAATACTGCGTGAACAGAATCGTAAAATAACCGAGGCTGGAGGGGCCCCTGGGAGCTCCCTGCTCGCAGCAGGGCAGGGAGAGCAGGCTCCTCAAAACCAGGGTTTTGAGAGCTGGGCCAGGGTATGGCGCAGCTGGCAAAACTGTGCTGTGCTGTGGAAAATGGGTTGTGCAAGGAGTGTCCTTTGGGACTGCATCAGCTGGAGTGGGGAAAGCACAGCCCACTGAACGACTGGGGTGGAATTTTATCGAAATTTGTGGTTGTAACAGGTATCCGCTAAGGATAAATGATCTTAGCCTGTGTTTTATAGTAGGGTTGGCCCTCTGATATCAGTTTCAAAGTAAATCCATTCTCTTCTTCCAT